CTGATGGGGCTCTGGAACACTTTTCTTTCCAGGCGCCTCCGGGAACTGGTGTTCTTTAGAACAAGCATTGGGAATGCATCTACAGATGCTTTTATTTATTCATTTTTAAAATATTTTTTATTGATTTTTTTACAGAGAGAAGGGAGAGGGATAGAGAGTTAGAAACATCGAGGAGAGAGAATCATCGACCAGCTGCCACCTGCACATCCCCCACTGGGGATGTGCCCACAACCAAGGTACATGCCCTTGACCTGAATCGAACCCGGGACCTCTCAGTCCACAGGCCGACACTCTACCCACTGAGCCAAACCGGTTTTGGCTACAGATACTTTTAAATGAGCATTAAGGTTGGTTGGTAGAGGAGGACACATCTCCGGATGGTATCGTGGTCCTGCCTGTCCCCAGGCCACCCACACACCAGCCCCGCTCAGCACTGCTCTCACTGAGTGAAGCTCGGCCTGAGAGCCATCCGCCTGTGGGTGTGTGTATGGATGTGTCAGGTCCAGTGTGTGTTGCATGTGGAGCCCCTGCCTCTGCCTCCGAACATACATGAGTATGTCCATTTTCCAATGAGGATATGGAGGGTGTTTGTGTAGCTGCATGGGGGATCCTCTTCTAAGGCAGGCCTGCAGCTTCGTCTATGATTCTCACACTCATGATACACAGGAAACAAGTTCATTTGCAAAGCCGCACCACAAGTGTGAGAGAATGGGTGGTTCACCGGTTTGCCAAGGCGCGGAGTGGGGGTAATTCTGGGTGTGGGCATCCCTCCCTTTGGGGCACACTTGCAGGAAGATGGGGTGCCAAACCTCTGGTAAGCACCTACTGTGTGTCAGGGACTACCCTGGCATAGCACAGCCATTGTTTCCTCTCTGAGTACCTACAAGCGCTCTGTAAGGGAGAGACATTATCGCCTCTTTAGAGATAAGGAAACTGGAGTCCGAAGGCGGAGGGGTGAAGCCACTTGTTCAAGAAAATGGCAGAACCTGAGTTGTGCCTGGGTCTGCCTGCCTCTGAAGTGCATGGTTTTCGCGTCGGCTGCCTTGCATTTGGTTTTGCTCTGCCATCACGGTACACAAGGGACGGGGCCCGGGGACAGAGGCCGAGGCTTCGTGTTTTGGGTGCTCCCCAGAGGGGGCCATGATCCCCCTCAGAACTGCCATGCCTCTCCCAGGAAGCCTCCCAGATCACCCAGGGGTGTCCTCTCCCCTCCTCGGCACCCTTCGCCGGTCCTGGCCCCACCACTGGGCGCTTTCTCCCTTTGAGAACCTCTGGCTCATCTGTCACCACAGGCCGGGTGGGTGGGAAGGGGGCCCACTTACGCCTGTCCAGGCTGTACGAGCCCTGGGGTTCAGAGAGAATCCGCACGTTCCCCGGCCCCCACAGGAGGCTGCAGGCCTGGGAGCCGGGGGCCGGAGAAAGGCTGGGACATGCTGACTAGATGGAAATTGTGTGTCAAGGAACACTCCAAAGGCAGGGGAAACCTGGACGCCTGGTGCAGGTGGGGACTGCCCCCACAAACCATAGGCCGAGAGGCAGGGGGTGGGTGAGGGGGTGGGCAGTTAGCTGACTATGCTTTCCTGGGCCTACCCCTTGCTGGGGTTTGAAGCAGGAATCCACAGGACCGATTGGCCCTACACCTGCAGTCACTGAGCGTGTGTGTGTGTGTGTGTGTGTGTGTGTGTGTGTGTGTGTGGTGTGTGGTGTGTGTGTGTATGGTGTGTGTGTGTGTGTGTGAGTGTGTGCGCGTGCCATGGGAGCCAGCAGGCCAGGGGAGGGGGGAGGACATCCTGTGACATTCGGCAGGGGCAGGAATGGCAACTTTCCAGATGGAAGTTCAGATGTTCCTCACTCAGGGCCAACTGCACCCCCGTCCGGGATGGAAATAGCCCTTCCTCTCCCCTTCCCCCCTTCTCTCCGCTCCGACTGCCCAGCGTCCGTCCGGTCAGATGAAGGCCCCCTCCCAGACGGTAAATCTGCCCTCACATATCCCTCCACTCCCAGCCGGAGACTGCCCCCTCCCTTCCTCAGCGATGCTGGTCCCTGGGCTGAGATCTCTTCGCTCGTGTCCATGCCGATGCTCTGGGGGACTCCGAGCTCTCTCGGGAGAGTCTTGTCGCTGCCTTCTGCCCGGGCAACCGGAAGGATTCTGGGTCCCTCGGCTCAAGCCTGTCCGTTGCCCTGCTCCATGGGCGGTCACAGCCTAGCGTCTGGGCCCTAGACCATCACTCCGTCCCCGGACCTGGCTCTGCCCCTGCCTTGCTGAGGGACCGCCGGGCGGCAGTGCTCGGCCCTCCCTGGATGTCAGGCGGCTCATCCTTCGTGGGATGAGGGACTGGACTTGGGGGTTACTTTCCTTTTACTTTATTTTATTTTTTGTATATGCTCTGCCAAAGCGAGCGCCGACTTCGGGTTTCTGAAGGTCTTTATAATCCTGATAGTCCATGTGCCAGATCTCCGAGGGAGGAGGAGGCCGCTGGCGGGCAGTGTGGCAGACCAAGAGCCAACACCTACACAGGAAAGAGGCGCTCTGGATGCCCTGCACGCCTCCTGCCTAACCGTCAGCAAGGGTCTTCTGTTCCCCCAGCCTGCAGGCTGTGCACACCCAGGCAGCCCAGCCCCCTGTCTGGTTCCATCCCCCTCAGATCAGGCTCCCAACCACAGCCCCATGACCCCTGCTCCCGGTGCTCCTTACCTGCCCAGCCCGGGAGCCCTCTGGCCCATTCACATGGTCCTCCGGCCTCGCCTGGCTGCCCAGACAGCCTCAGCTCTCCTCGCCGTGGTAGCCACCACCTGACTTCTCGCGCCCACGTCCCACCCTGACTTCCTGCCTCCTCCAACCGGGCCCCAGTAGCCCAACCACAAGCCTCCAGCACCCCGGGCTTCCTGCCACCAGAGTCCCCCCGTGCCTCGGTCCCCGAGGGTCCCAAACATCTCCGGGCCTCGCTCTCCTCGCCTTGAGGGCGGCACTGGGAGAAGGGAGGACGTTGGATGTCGCCTCCCTCCAGCCCCCCAGGGTGCACCCAGACAAGAGACTCAGGGCAGCCTTTAACCCCAAAGAGCAGGGGCCGGCGGACACACTCAGCTGTCAGCGAAAGGCAGGTGCGGCTCTCACAGTCTGAGAGGCGCTTTCGTGACAGACGGAGGCGAAGGTGACACTGCTTCCGAGCCAGAGGAGAGTCCGAAATCCCTGTGAGGCAGGCGGAGAGCAGGACCCCCATGTGGCTACTGCAGCCGGGAAAATAGCCGTCTCATTTCTGGGCACGGGACGATGGCTTTCTGTAATCAGAGGGCAGGCTAACACGCCCCTTCCAGACAGATGCTGGACAGCAAGCTGTGTGAGGAAGCGGGCAGGACAGCCCTGTGGCTGGTGCGTGGGGGGATCACTTCTCACTCAGGTAGAGGAAGGTCATGGACCCCGTGAGAGGTGTCGGGGCTGCCACCCCCTCTTGCAACCAGCGGGAGACAGAACAAACACCCCCTCCCCGGGCACGCAGGTGCAGGCAGCAACTGGCAGCACGTTCTGCCATAGGCAGGAGGCAGGAACCCTGTCTCCAGCACAAGCAGGCCACGAATCCCCCTCGAACCCAGGGCCACACGGAGGGAGGCACCCCCCCAGGCAGAGGGCCAGGCCACCGGTGTTAGGAGAAACTCCAGGCGGCCTTTATCAGGCCCCCAGATCCTCGACCCCCTCCCGGAGGAAGGTATGACTGCTGTCACTACCACCACGGCCCCCAGCTACACCGAGTGAGGGGCGGGGGGAGGGGAGCCCGCAGAGCATTGTTGGGGTTTGTGAGGTGGAAGCTGATTGTGTGTGCACCTCAGCTGCCGAGGGAAGGGGAGACAGGAAATGGGTGGGGGAAGAGGAAGCCTGAGTTGGAAAGTCAGACAAAGAGGGTAACAGAAACAAAGGCGGAGAGAGACGAAGTTAACAAAAAAACACACACAGCAGACTGCAGGGACACAGCCTGGGGTCTGGGCTGCAGCCGGAGCTCGGAGCTCCCCTTCACGTCTCTGGGCTCAGCCCGATGGTAATAGCTGTGGCCAAAGGAAGGATAAGCTACTGAAATTTGCGTTCAGTGAGGGCTTGCTGTGCTTTGCCGCACAGAAGGCATGTCCAGCCACTGGTGAGTGAGAATTAGCACTTCCATTTTAGAGGTCAAGAAACAGAGTCCCGCCAAAACCGGTTTGGCTCAGTGGATAGAGCGTCAGCCTGCGGACTGAAAGATCCCAGGTTCGATTCCCGTCAAGAGCATGTGCCTTGGTTGAGGGCACATCCCCAGTAGGGAGTGTGCAGGAGGCAGCTGATTGATGTACCTCTCTCATTGATGTTTCTAACTCTCTCTCTCTCCCTTCCTCTCTGTAAAAAAATCAATAATATATATATATATATATATATATATATATATATATATATATATATATATAATTTTTTTTTTTTTTTTTTTTAAACAGAGTCAGAAATTGAGGGAATAAGTGGTGGGGCTGGCTTTGAACCCAGGTCCGGCAGGTCGGGCAATTCTTCAGCTGCTCATTGACCCACGTCACTCCCGTGGGGGTCAGTTAGGATGGTAAGTTCTGTCCCAGTTCTGATGTTGGTGAGGCGGCTAGAGCTAGAGCTGTGGGGGAGAGCAGGATCCACCCCCAACCCAGGCCTTGAACGGCCCTGTCCCAGCCACAGAAGACTCTCGGCGACCTTGGCCTGAACAAATGATTGCAGAGACCTTGGTGGGGAGCAGAGAGGGCGTTTATTGTGTAAGCGCCTACCGCCCCTCTCCAACTCCCTCTCCCCCTACCCTTCTTCCCACCCTACCCCTCCCCCCCCCCCCCCCCCACACACACACAGCTGGGCGGCTGCAGGAACAGGATGCTGGGCTTTATGCTCCCAGATCTGAGGTACCCCCACCCCCCTCTCCTGCCAGGTGCTGGTGCCTCTGGGCGCCCCTCGCCTCCAGGTGGGTGGGGGAGAGGGTGGGGTGTCAGCAGGCACCAGGTGCCCCTCAGCAGAGCGTGAAGCGCCGGGCGCTGATGTTCATGCGGGTGAGGCCGAGGTGCCGCAGCGGCGGGGCCAGGGCCAGGCCGGCGCCCGGCTCCAGCTCCAGCTCCAGCTCTGCCTCGTCCAGCAGCTCCTGGTGCAGATGGCAGGCCTGGTCCACCTTCAGCCGGTGCAGCTGGGCCCGCAGGCGGAGCAGCTGCCCCGCCAGCCGCCGGTCCTGAGCCTGCATCTCCCGCTGCGTCCGAGAGGGGGCGTCAGCGGCTGCCGGAGCCTCGGCAGCTCCCGCCGCCCGCGCGTCCTCCCCTTCCTGTCCACACCCTGGGTCTCTGCACTGTCTGCGTCCTCCACTCCCTCCGTCTCTCTGCCCTGCTCCCCACGAGGGCTCTGAAGCCAAGCTAAGAAGCCGGCGCTGCCCGGGCCGGTGTGGCCAGGTTGGGTGGAGCCTCCTCTCATACAGACGGGGAGGGCATGGCCTCCCTACTCTGGGAATGGCTCCACCCACAGACACTGTGACCCCAAAAGTAGGTGGGTTTGACTCCTGGTTAGGGCTCATGCCCCTGTTGCTGGTTTGATCCTCTGTGGGATGTTTCTCTCTCACATCGATGCCTGTCTCTCTCTCTCTCTCTCTCTCTCTCTCTCTCTCTCTCTCTCTCTCTCTCCCTCCCCCCTCCCCCCGCTCCCTCACTCAAAAAAAAAAAAAAAAATCAATAAAATATATAGCCAAAACCGGCTTGGCTCAGTGGATAGAGCATCAGCCTGTGGACTGAAGGGTCCTGGGTTCGATTCCTGTCAAGGGCATGTGCCTTGGTTGCGGACACATCCCCAGTGGGGGGTGTGCAAGAGGCAGCTGATTGATGACTCTCATCAATGTTTCTGACTCTGTTTCTCTTCCTTCCTCTCTGTAAAAAATCAATAAAATATATATTTTTTAAAGAATATAGATATATGAAAAATGTAAGGAAGGCCCCATCCCAGATAACTAAGTGGACTCTGCCATTGGGAGCCTGGACCTCTTCACATTTACACACGTCAGATTAAGAGCCACCTATTCAACCTCCCCCCTCCCCCCAGATTCTGCCTCCAGAGAGCCTCATTCTGCACTTCACAGCGTCTGCGGGTGGAGCCATCCCCAGAGTAAGGCAGGCCATGCCCTCCCCGTCTGTGCAACGGGTGGCCCAGAGAGCAGGCTCTGTCCCTTCAGCCACAGAAGCACCGGGTCAGCCGCTGCAATGGAATCCTCCAGCAAGTCTTCCTGAATAAAACCCTGTGTCCTGGCGCCTCAGGACACGGCCACAGGAATGCGCAGCTGCTGGAGGTGGGACCCGCTCCCACCCCACACCGGTGGTCTCGGAGAACTGTCTCTGCCAGGCCTGCCACCCCACAGACTCACCAGCTCCCGGCGCAGCCACTCCAGGGCAGAGTCCATGGAGTCAAAGCCGCAGATGGCCCCGGGCGCCCCCGGCCCGGGCCCGGCTCGGACCCTGCGCCAGGCCTGGCTCTGCACCTGGGCCGTCCACTCCAGGTACGAGGGCCGCCGTGTCTGCAGCCGCAGCTTGGCCGTCAGCGCCTTCACCGAATCCAGGCTCTCTTCCTCCTCATCCTCTTCGCCCACCGCCTGGAACTTCGGCGGCCTCAGGGACATGGAGGGCGGGATGGGGGACAAAGCCGGACGGCAGCTCTGGGGTCAGGGGAAGGCTGGCAGTGTGGCCCAGGGGGTGGCGGCAGGAGCGGAGGGTGAACGCAGTGTGCCGGTGTGCGATGGGGAGTGCTCCAGGTGGGCCGGGGAGGCTGGGTGTGAGGTGTGGGAGGCGGCGTGTGCGGGCTGGGATTTTCCAGGACCAACAGCCCTGGGGCCATGTGATGCCCATCCGCTTGGCGTCAGAAGCAGCCCTGCTCTTTTGGCCCCTCGGACGGGTTTTATTGTCTTTGCCCAGAAGGAGACACCCAGTTTCCCAGAAAGGAAGTTGTTCCAGGATAAGAAAAGCATCACCAGCACCAGCTTCTTGGCCCTCTTCCTAAGACCCAAGTAAGGGAGTGGGGAGGGGATAAGATGCTCACTCGTGGCAGAGGAAGTGGCCAGAGCCGTGGCCCGGGAGTCGGAAGACGTGGGTTCTGACGCTGGCTGTGAGGGGCCTTGGATACGTCACTCTGTGCGGGGACACATCTTTGATTTCAAGCTATGCTCTAAGGCAGAGGTCGGCAAACTGCGGCTTGCCGTGAGCCGCGGTTTGCCGCTCTATTGACTAATGAGTTTGCGGACCACTGACCTATATTCTCAATTTCAATAATTCCAATTCCAGTAATCCTTGTGATTAAGCCTCTAACCCAGTGGTCGGCAAACTCATTAGTGGCTCGCGTGCCGGAGTTTGCCAACCACTGCTCTAAGGAACTTTAGGTTCCCCTGGAAATCTCCCAGAGGCTGCACGCAGGACAAGGACACACTGTGGGCGGGCTCCAAGGCCTGTTTCTCCCGGCCCTTCCCAGGGCTTCACTCCGAGCAGTTCCCTTTCTTAAACTTTGTATTGAAACATAACACACACACACACACACACACACACACACACACACACACACAAAAAGAAACAACACACACAGAAAGACTCACAAATACACAGCTTGAGGAATACACAAAAGCTTGGAAGCTAATGGACCAGAAGGCCCTTTGAAGGCAGGAGTTGTTGTTGTTGTTGTTGTTGTTGTTCTTCTTCTTCTTCTAATATATTTTATTGATTTTTTAAATTTTTTTATTTTTTATTTTATTTTATTTTTTTTTACAGAGAGGAAGGGAGAGGGATAGAGTTAGAAACATCAATGAGAAAGAAACATCAACTAGCTCCCTCCTGCACACCCCCTGCTGGGGATGCGCCCGCAACCACGGTACATGCCCTTGACCAGAATCAACCTGGGACCCTTCAGTCCGCAGACAGACGCTCCATCCACTGAGCCAAACCAGTTTCGGAAATCTTCTTCTTAATAGTCAGTACTTAGCACAGTATAGGTATCAGGGTTTGAGAAATAAAAGAATAATCGGGCCGAAACCAGTTTGGCTCAGTGGTAGAGCGTTGGTCTGCGGACTGAAAGGTCCCAGGTTCGATTCAGGTCAGGGGCAAGTACGTTGGTTGCGGGCACATCCCCGGTAGGGGTTGTGTAGGAGGCAGCTGGTCAATGTTTGTTTTTTGTTTTTTTTTCTTAAATATATTTTATTGATTTTGTACAGAGAAGAAGGGAGATAGAGAATTAGAAACATCAGAGAGTCATCGATCAGCTGCCTCTTGCACACCTCCTACTGGGGTTAGGCCCGCAACCAAGGTACATGCCCTTGACCGGAATTGAACCCGGGACCCTTCAGTCCCCAAGCTGACTCTCTATCCATTGATCCAAACTGGTTTGGGCTGATCAATGTTTCTCTCTCATCAACATTTCTGGCTCTCTCTCTCCCTTCCTCTCTGTAAAAAATCAATAAAATATTTTTTTTAATTAAAAAAAAAGAATAATCGGGTGGATGGGTGGATGAGTCCTCCAGCCAATCGGTTCATCTCGTGTGAATTACCAGTTGAAGTGTGACTCTTGCCAGACTGTAAGCCCTGTGAACAGAACTCAGCCATCCTTTGGTTACAACACTAAGCACAGAGCCCAGCTCAGTGTATGGGCACAGAATGGAGTATGAGGGGATGGGTCACTGTAGAGGGCGCCCTTAGGCAGGGCCATCCAGCTGTGGTGGCTGAGGGGTGCCAGTTACAGCTGCTTGCATTTAAGGCAGACCAAAGGATTTCCCCCACCCGACCTCAGAGGGAGGAAGTAGGCAGTTCCCACACTTATTTAAATCCTCACCTGAGGATATTTCCCACTGATTTTTAGAGAGAGTGGAAGAGAGAGGGAAAGAGAGAAAAAGATTGATGTGAGAGAAACACATCAATTGGCTGCCGCCTGCACAAGCCCTGACCAGGGCTCAGGCCAGAGAGGAGCCTACAACTGAGGTACATGCCCTTGACCAGAATCGAACCCAGGTCCCCTGAGGTCCCCAGGCCAATGCTCTATCCACTGAGCCAAACTGGCTATGGTGTCATTGATATTTTTATTGATTTCAGAGAGAAAGGGAAAGGGAGAGGGGGAGAGAGAGAGAGAGAAATATCAATGATGACCATCATTGATTGGCTGCCTCCTGCATGACCGCCACTGGGGATCCAGCCTGCAACCAGAGCATGAGCTCTTGACCAGAATTGAACCCTGGTCCCTTAAGTCCACAGGCCGATGCCTTATCCACTAAGTAAAACCAGCTAGGGCTCCATTGATATTTTTTAGAGAGAGTGGAAGGAAGGAAGGAAGGAAGGAAGGAAGGAAGGAAGGAAGGAAGGAAGGAAGGAAGGGAAGAGAAGAGAGAGAGAGAGGGAGAGAGAGAGAGAGAGAGAGAGAGAGAAAGAAAGAAAGAGAAAATTAAACATTGATGTGAGAGGGACACATGGATTGGTTGCCTCCCTCACAGGCCCTGACTGGGTCTGGGGACTGAATCTGAAACTATGGTACATGTCCTCAAATAGGAATCAAACCCATGACCCTTTGGTGTGTGAACTGACACTCTAACCATTTAGCAACACTAGCCAGGGCTCACTGGTGATTTTCAGCAGAGCAGTTTCTGGAAAGTAGGAGCAGATACCAGAATCCCCAGAGTATTGTGTTTCTCTTGTCAGGATGGGGCTTCCCAGGGACGACTGTTTTGCTCCCATCAGATTGGGGTACTTCAAGGATGCCGGATACTTCCGTTAAATTAGGGTCTTCTCAGGGCATTCTGTGCTTCCCCACCAGACTCAGTATGTCTCCTCAGAGGGCATTGGGTCTCCTTCATCCAATTAGGACGTCCTCAAGGATACAGAATCAGCCGAAACCGGTTTGGCTCAGTGGATAGAGCGTCAGCCTGCGGACTGAGAGGTCCCGGGTTCAATTTCGGTCAAGGGCACGTACATTGGTTGTGGGCACATCCCCAGTGGGGTAGGAGGCAGCTGGTCGATGTTCCTCTCTCATCGATGTTTCTAGCTCTCTGTCCCTCTCCCTTCCTCTCTGTAAAAAATCAATTAAAAAAAAATAAAAAAGGATACGGAATCATTTCCATCAAATTACGTATGCTTCCTGGAAGGTCTTGGGTCCCTCTTGTCAGATGGGCTCCTCTGAGGGTTCTGTCTCCCTCTTTGGTCTGGAGCATTTGTGCCCAGGCTGTGCTCACAGGAGCTGGGGTTGGGGGAGAGATGGCCAGACTCCCTCCTGTGCAGAGGCGACCCCAACCAGAGAGCTGTGTGTGCCTGATGGAGGCCTGTGAGGACCTGGAGCGGAGCATGGACCACTGGCTTAGTTGACTTGAGGGTTGCCGCTGGCTGGCACGTGTGAAGGAGGCACTGAGCACAGCCTGTCTAGCAGCTCAGAGCACGGAGAGGTAAACCTGACTAGATGGAGAATAGGGCAGGATGGGCAGGACTCTCCATCCTTGGGCACAGAATCATACTTCAGTAAGCAAGTACAGCCCAGAACTGGGCCCATTCTATCCCGGCTGGCCACCCCAGGCAGGGAAGAACTGGCCACTGTTGACAGCCCTGGGCCCACAGGGAAGGGGCCTGCATTCTGGTGCAGGGGCTGAAGGCGCTGGCAGCACCCTGCTGGTGATTTCACTGGCCCAACTCATCCTGGACCCCTTGAGCCAGACCATGGCTGGATTCCAGGAACTGGTGGAGTGGGAGTGGATCCAGGTAAGTGACCACCCAGCCCCAGTCCTACCCCTCTATCCAGAAACCCTGCTTCCTTGTACCTATTGCTCTGCCCCTCCTCTGGCCAGCCATCACTTCCTCTCTGCTTAACTTTCTTTTTTTATATATATATTTTTTATTGATTTCAGAGAGGAAGAGATAGAAACATCAATGAGTCATTAATTGGCTGCACCCCACTGAGGAGTAAGCCCACAACCCTGGCATGTGGCCTTGACCAGAATCAAACCTGGGACTCTTCAGTCTGCAAGCTGAGGCTCTATCCACTGAGCCAAGCCGGGTAGGCACTGCTTAACTTCATTACTTGTCCTTCTCTTCCTCAGGCCTATTTCTGCGCTGGGACCTCCCCCTCTCCACACACACACCTGAGCCTTCAGAGGTAGCATGGTAGACGTGGCCAATAGTGACAGATGAGGAGACAGAAGGCTCTCAGCCAATGGTTTCAGCCTCTGAGCCCCAGCCCAGGTGCTGGCATCTCCTGGAGCGGCTGACACCTCTCCAGACCCCATAGCACCGTCAGGCCTTGAAGGTGCCTGCAACCAGCCTCGCTCATAATACTGAACTTCCAGGTTTGAAGTGTCCAAAGAAAGTGTAGGGAGGTCCAAATAGTCAAGGTCTCCATGCCTGGATAGCAGCTCACTGGGGTGTCACAGTGAGAAGGGGAGATTATTAAACAGACCCCATAAAATATCTGACCAGAATCCACTTATTTCCAAACTAATTTATTATTTCTCAGAGTCCAAAACTTTCTGCGAGCCCTGGACGGGAAACTTTTCCCTGGCCAGGATGGAGATCCAGCTTCTTAAGCCTCAAACTCAAATTCAAAGTACTGTGGGTCGAAGTAGTGGATGCGGACATAACCATCTTCACCACCACTGCTGTAGCTGGAAGAGACAAACAGGGACAGGTCAGAGGCCCGCTCGGGGGAGGGGGGGGGCAGGCCTGTGAGGCAGGGCTGGGGAAAGGGGCACAGAGTGGGCCTGTGGGGCAGGACCAGGCCCGGGCTGAGCTCAGCTCCCTTCACTGGCCCTACCTCTTGCCATCAGGATGGAAGGCAACACTGTTGATAGGTCCAAAGTGACCCTTGACTCTTCCAAACTCTTCTTCAATGGCCAAATGGAAGAACCTGGAGGAAAAAGGGTGGTGAGAAGGGCAGTTTATTCACTCTCCATCCCCTTCCAAAAAGCTCTGGAGGTATCACTCTCCAATACAACCTATGAAGTGGGGAAACAGGGACAAGGAGAAATGAATGTGAACAATATTAAGTTAGGGGACGATCAGGCCAAATGTCTGCCTGCACACACAGCTAACTCTTCCTCACCATGTGCCGGGCAGTGCATTAACTGCATTTAATATTTAATCTGCATCATTTTATGCGGGACATATACTGTCACTGTCCCATTACAAGCAGAGGATAACTAGGAACAGAGAAATATAAAAATGTGTCTAGGGCATCAGGCCGAGCCCAAGAGTTCACGCTCTTAACCCCTGCGTTACACACTTGTCACAGGAGGGCCACAAATCTGGCTGCACTTCTAACAAGTTCCTCGATCTGGCCGAAACTGGTTTGGCTCAGTGGATAGAGCGTCGGTCTGCGGACTGGAAGGTCCCAGGTTCGTTTCCGGTCAAGGGCATGTATTATACATTGGTTGCGGGCACATCCCTGGTAGGGGGTGTGCAAGAGGCAGCTGGTCGATGTTTCTCTCTCATTGACGTTTCTAGCTCTCTCTCTCTCTCCCTTCCTCTCTGTAAAAAATCAATAAAATATATTTAAAAAAAAAAAAGTTACTCGATCTGTGTCCATTATGAAAGATACCCTCCTGGATCTCAATGTGGAAGAGCTCCCTGCACCTTTACCTGGCCTCGAACTTGCCAATCCTGGTGGAGGTGGTGGTTACATCCATGGCTTCCTGACCGCCGCCCAGCACCACCTGAAGAGAAGAAGAAATTCTGCACAGGCCCAAAGGACAGGCAAGCCCGTTTGCCATTTTCCTCCCCACCCCATAGACTCACTGTCTCCCACATCAGATGGGAGGACACTAGGGCAGGGACAGAGATACAGTACTTTAGCACCCCCTAGCCCATACCTGGGGCATTGTTCGTCTTATTGATTCTCTGGGAACCACCTTTCTGCCTGACACTGTTTCCCCCCAGAGTTCTGGCTTAACTGCTGCACAAGCATCTAGATCCTGGCAGCATTATGAGGCTTTAGCAGGAAGGAAGGAGGGATTCCCTTACATGGTCATAATTAGGAGAGAGGGCAGCGGAGTTGACGGGACGTTCTGTCCGGAAGGTCTTCTGATGTTCAAGGGTTGTAGAGTCAAAGAGCTGGAGAGAAAAGGTGTGGGGAGGGGAGAGAATCTGTAAATGAGACTTCCTGGGGGAAGCTGGGCTGGTTGAGCTCTGCCAGACCCCTTGCCCAGGCTCACCTTGGCTGTGTTGTCCTTGGAGGCAGTGACAAACATGGTCATGTCCCTGGATAACTGGATGTCATTGATCTGCCGGGAGTGCTCCTTCACGTTCACCAACACCTCCCCAGACTGGGAAGGAAAAAGAGTGAGCCTGACCAGACCCAACCCCACTAACCCCATTACTCAGCAGGACTTACACTGCTTCCTGTCCCATCAGGGGGACCAGAGGTCTCTACTGGGACCACCCATGTATCCCTGAATCAACATTTACTCCCTCTCCCAAGCCCAAGCCCACATCCTAACCTGGCCCGTGAGTACAAGTTTCATAAGCACTGCTAGTCCATCTAGGAAAACACATCCATGGACCTATTAACTAATCATCACATTATAATGGTAGAGCAGTTCCATTTGTCAAACCTTTTTCCAACATAGTTATTGTACAGCTACTATTTGCCAGGCACTGCGCCAAGCACTTAACAACATCTAACTTCATTTAATCCTCACAACAATCCCATGAAGTGGATGCTTTAGCGGAAATTTTAAAAGGAAGACACTAAGGCCGAAACCGGTTTGGCTCAGTGGTAGAGCATTGGTCTGTGGTCTGAAAGGTCCCAGGTTCGATTCCGGTCAGGAGCATGTACATTGGTTGTGGGTGCATGCCCAGTGGGGGGTGTGCAAGAGGCAGCTGGTCGATGTTTCTCTCTCATCGATGTTTCTAGCTCTCTCTCTCCCTTCCTCTCTGTAAAAAATCAATAAAATATATATTAAAAAAAAGGAAGACACTAAGGCTCAGAGAGGTGGTAGACTGGGAGATCAGGCAAATAGTAAGAGGCAGAGAGCCCCAGCTTATCCCTCTCCCCTGCCAGGCTCTGGGTTGCAGCCCACGAGGACTGCTCTGTCTACCTTCTCTTAGGTCTTCTCATTTCCTCTGTTTTCCCTTCCCACAACCTGCTAGACTAGGTAGTACAAAGAGCAGAGTTAAGTCTGTCCTTAAATGTACTTCTCTGTGCCTCAATTTCTCTATCTAGAAAACAGGGTGCTAACAGCCCGTTGCCCAGGGTCACTGTAAGGGTATTGGGACTATGATTTGGTGGCCTTTGTTGTGACAGGCGCCTGGCATACGTCCTGTAAACATTTGTTAGATGATCGGAAGGCCTTGAGCATTGTGCCTCACATATAGCAGGTCCTCAAAAAATATTCATTTCCCACCGAGAACAAGCAGGATTAACGGGCTCCCCATGCCCATGCCCCTCTCTATTGTTGGGGTTTCTTAACATGCTGCAGAAAAAAATTCATTTCCTTAGTTATTTTTATCTCTTCTGAGAGAAGAATATATTTTTGGGCATATGGTAGGGATGTATCTGTCTACTACATTTTGGGAAACATACACCAGCGTTACAGTCTGGCCTACCTCGGGGCACAGATCAGCTCCACTATTTGCTAGCATCAAGCATCATTTATGCCTTTGACCTGGGTTCTAGTTTCCTTCCTGCAGACAGGCCTGGAGTCTAGTGGACCACAGTCAGTGTTTGCTGAGTGACTGACTAACCTTTATGGCATGACATTCCAGCATTCACCAGGAATGCAAGTACCTGAATCAGAAATCTCAGAGAGCCTGGGCTTTATCTCCGCACACACACCCCCCCCCCCCCGCTCATTTCATATTCATCAGTCACCCTTAACTATCTCTTGACCGTTGAGTACCCCCTATCTTCAAGGTTATTGCTTAGTTCAGGTCCATTCTCCAAACTGTAGCCTGCAAAAGTTTTCCAAAGAGGAACTCCGATCATCACTAACCAGTTAAAGATAATCCCACTGTCTAAAGGAAAATCACACCTTAATTCCTGATAGTCAAAAAATCTCGTCCCTGACAAGAAAATAAAATTAAATAAAGGAAACTCTGCCCACCTTCCCCAATACCACATTCCAGTGATACCAGACTATTTCCTGAAGGACCCATACAATCCCTTAATTCTGTGCCTCTGTGAATGCTATTCCTTTTGCCTGTGGACTGTATCTCTCTTCCTGTGTGAAGCTCCATTTGCTCTCTATTAATGTTTGTGCCACCTCCCCTGTGACAGACGGCATTTTCAGCATTTGACTGAGACCTCTACGATGGCATAACTCAGCCTGACTCATGCTAGCTGTTTGCCAGTCTGTCTCCCCTGGGCAGGGCCCTGAAAACTCAGATAGCAGCAAAACACTTAGTTGTGATCATTATTAACAGATCCTGAGGACTTCGTAACAACTTTTTCAAATACCTAATATTATCAGATCCTTGAAACATTTTATGATAAACAGGCTCGGGGAAGTTAATGTGTAATTTACTCAAGATCGCATAGCTCAAATTGGTCAAATCTGTATTTAAGTCCAACCCTCGTTCTTAACCACTGTGCGATCCTGCCTCTTGCAGGGAATCATTCTGGTGGGCACGGGCCCCGCCCAGCCCCTTACCTTGGCACTGTACTGGTTGAGCTCTCCACTCTCATGGCCCGCAATGATGCACTCCCCCAGGGGTCCCCACACGGCGCTGGTGATCTTGGTGTCATTGCAAGGGATCTTCATATAGGGCTCGTTGCTGTCTGGTGTTGGGCAGCAGATGTCAGGCCTTGGGCTTTGGAGTTGCCCCCTTCACCTCAACCCCAACCCTGGGCCCAGTCCTTACCGATCTGGCTCGGATCCCGCAGGTCAAAGAAGCTCACAAAGCACTGGTAGCCCATCTGCTTGTCCGTGGAGAACATGATGATATTGCCACCAAAGTCAAAGCCACAGGTCCTGACAGCTGAATTGGTCTTGAGTAGAGCCAGCTGCTTCCCTGGGGACAGAGAGAGTCTGAGCCACCCCTTGTCAACTGTCATAACAGGGAGGAGACTACCCCTGCCCATCATCATTTCTCACTGTTTCTCCTGCTCTAAGGACTCTCACCCAGTATCCTCCTCTTCCTCATGGCTATGTTTTGGCTCAAGCATCAACTTTCCCCCCATAGTCTTTCCTCAGACATCCTGCTCAAGAGGAACTGCTCATAGTGAAGTGAAGACACCCATCTTCTCCTCAGAATGCGCCTCTACAGCAAAGACCTCATTTCTCTGGATGTCCCCAGTGCCCAGCTAACTGGCACAGAACTGGGTGCCCAGTAAATATTTATTAGACTGAGGAGCTTAATAGCATCCCATCTTTAGTCTCAGTTCTTCCAATATTCCCCACGGCTATGCGAGCTTGCTAAGAGTTACCGCCGACCCCTCTTCCCTGCTCAGGTCCTCCTCTGCATGCCAAGTCTTACAGAACAAAGCTAAGCCCCTGAGTCCGGCATTCAAAGCCTCTTCTGGTCCTACTCTGCCCCATCGGCTCCAATGCCTTATTTCAGTCTCCAAGAAAGAAGCAGGAACTCCACTAGATCAGTTTACTTGGATATGACACTTGCCATGTTTTTATTCCTGCATGTGTCAAAGGAGGAACTCTTTCTCATCCTTTAAGTGTCTGCTCATATGACATTTGCCTTCGGAAGTCTTCCTAAGCTGCTCCCATCTATTCCAGGCAGTCGCCTGCCTCCCTTCCACTCCCCAGAACCCATTTGCTTAAACAGTACACTGTAGGTCCTCACTATCTGCTAAAAAAGTGAACGATCTAGACTTACCCGTTTCACAGTCCCAAAGACGACAGCTGTTGTCAGCCGAGCCGGTGAGGACATGCTTGGTGTCCCCTGAAGAGGGTGTTAAGAAACATGACCAAGTTCACCTGAGTCACCTCCCTGTTCAGCTCTAGAAAGCCCGTCTTCCTCTCTTTCCTCAGGGCATGCTAACCTTCTCAACTAGAAACGGAACTTGTCCTAAATGTTCCCCCAACCAGTGAACCGACTGGGGAATAGGAGGCAGGTATTATTCTCTAGACCCACAGTCCATACCCCCGATTCCCAGCTCCAAGTCAATAGCCTCTCTATGGCTGGCAGACTCTGGGGACATAAACTCAGAGCAAAACAAGGATACAGTCAGCGTCTACACACCACACAGCTCCAGTATGGCCCATGTAGGTGCCCAGCCTCTCCCCATTCACAGAGTACCACACATTGACGATCTGGAGGAGCCAAAGATAAAGCATAGTACACATTCAGGCAGGGTGATGGCTTCCTATTTTGCCCCAGGGACCCTCAGCAGCCTCTAGCCAGGTCAGATTCTACCCTCTCCTGCTCATCTCTTAGGAAAGGGCAGATTGCTGGCAAAAAGATCAACTCCTGGATTCTCCTCCTGCCGGCAGGTAAGTGGCAGGGAAGTCAGGAGGCTTCCAGCCCTCCCCCAGACTCCAAAACCCTCGAAGAAAAACAGGAACTTCGGTGTTCGGTCCAAGTGGGAGCTGCTGGTAGCAGTAAAGCCTGGGTTTCAATCCCTGTTCTGCCACTACCCCACTGTATTCTCTCCAATACAACGTTTCTCCTCTCTGAACTTGTTTTCCCTTCCGTAAAATGGCCATGACTATAATGCCTTCTTCAAAGGATAGTTGTGAGGCTATTCCAATAAAGTAACGTCTAAGGAATTTTTCTTTCTTTCTTTTTTTAAATATATATATTTTATTGATTTTTTACAGAGAGGAAGAGAGAGGGATAGAGAGTAACAAACATCAATGAGAGAGAATCATCGATCAGCTGCCTCTTGCACACCCCCTACTGGGGATGTGCCCACAACCAAGGTACATGCCCTTGACAGGAATCGAACCCGGGACTTTTCAGTCCACAGGCTGACGCTCTATCCACTGAGCCAAACCGGTTTTGGCACGTTTAAGAAGTTTAAAATAAAAGTGACTAACATTCAAGAGGCACTCATTCGCACCAGGTTCTGTGCTACAGTATTTACTGGAATGATCTCATTTAATTCTAAAAACCCTACACGGGAGGTGCTACTAGTACCCATGGTTTACGAAAAGGCAAACTTGTAGTTAGAAAGGTTAAGTGGCATTCTCAAAGTCACATTGCTGGTGGATGCAAGAGTTAGGATTCAAATCTGTTTGGCTTCAGAGGCCCCACTATTAGCCTCTACTGTTCACCATATGGAGATGCAGTGGCAGGAGAGTAAGAAGTTAGGAAAATGCCTGGGCAAGTGGACTGGGGGAACTGAGACAAGAAAGTTCAACAAGGCCAAACAGCTTGGGCACCTTACAGCCAGCTGTGATTGGAAGACCTTATCTTCCCTAGCCAAGGACACTTGAGAGCTAATGTTTTATACTTCTCCTCCCCAACCAGAAAATACATGGCTTAATTTACATACAATAGCTTAAAATACATAATCTGGGGAAGTAGAAAACACCCAATCAATGCCATTTGTGCCAGCTAACCCCAAAGACAGATGAGGTTGGGGAACAGTAACAAAAATCCCATTAAAACCAGAAAGACATAAAGTAACAGTTAAACAGATGAAAAAATAACCCCAAACTCCTCTATACACTCAGTTTAATGCATCAGCATGTTAAAAATGCACCTGGAAAGCTGATGAATATTCTACTAAAACCCTCCCCTAAGAGTCTCTCCAGCAGAAAATGAAAAGCCCTAAGGACAAAGACTCAATGGGGGCTTGCTCTAGAGCACACCCTGTCTCCTTCGAGCATGAACTTTTTATTTCTTTCTTATTGATTTTAGAGAGGGAGGAAGGGCGAGGGATAGAGATAGAAACATCACTGAGAAACATCCATGGGCTGCCTCCTGTACGCCCACTGGGGATAGAGCCTGCAACCCCGGCATTCCCTGACAGGGAATCAAACCCATGACCTCTTGGTTCATCAATGGATGCTCAACCACTGAGCCACCACGACCCGGCTGACCTTTTAATTTCTAAGGGTCCCCAGGAGACTTGCAGCCAGGAGCTCAGTGGGCAGCGGCTCACTCCCTGATCCAATCTCCAAGGGCCCCCTTTTCTGGCACTTTCTAGTGAGCTGACAGCAGCCCTGTCTTGGGTCACTTCTTTCCTGGAACATATCTAGAGCCAAAGCAGAGCACCACCTAGGCTCTTTCCTGTTGTTTCTTCTGCACTAATTTCTTCTTTGGCTTCGCTGTCCCCAGGGTTAATACACATTCTCAAATCCATCTGGGCATGGGTTGTGATATCTTTCCTACAGTATAGGTCAGCCTGAGGCAAGCCTGCTCTAGGCCGGCTGTCATTACCCACTTTATAAAAGGCAGGCAGTTTGGCTCAGTGGATAGAGTTGGCCTGCGGACTGAAAGGTCCTGGGTTCAATTCCAGTCAAGGGCATGTACCTTGCTTGCGGGCACATCCCCAGTAGGAGGCGTGCAAGAGGCAGCTGATCAATGTTTCTGGCTTTCTATCCCTCTCTTCCTCTCTGTAAAAACCCAATAAAATAAATAAAAGGCAGCTGTGTGAGGTGGGGCTGTTTGCATTCTTCTGGGCAGGCTGGGGCTCAGAGAACTGATTGCAATAAGACCAGGGACACCTCCATTAAGTCCTGGGTGTCCCTCGCTGCCCAGGGACCAGCTTTCCCCTCTAGAAGTAGTTTCCAAATCCTGGCGGGAGAGTTCTGTTCTTCCCCAGAATGGTCTCCTCCCGGTCCCCTGAACGAACTGAACTGACTCCTCGCCCCGCTCCTCCCACCCCGGATCTCTTGCTTTTCTCCCTCCAGCTACTCCCTCCTTCCACCAACAACTGAGCTCTACCCGCCTTTCCCGGCAGAACGGGTCGGCCGTTCCCTACTTCCTAGAATGGGGTTCTCTTTGGTTCCCCGCTCGCGGCAAAACTGGCGTGTCTGCCCATCCTCCCGGCGAAGTGCCCTCGCCCCGTCCCGGGGTCGCCCCGCCGGCCCCGCGGACGCAGCTCACAGGGTCCTTGGCCACCGTGAAGAGGAGGTCTCCCTCGCGGTTGTACTTGATCTGCGTGATGGACCGCTCATGGCCCTGCAGCAGGATGGGCTTCTGTGGGGACAGGACGGCAGTGTCAGCGCCCGGAACGGCCCTCGCCCCCGCCCCGACCCCCACGGCAGCACCTCCAGCTCAGTGGAACTCACCATCGCCGCGGTGACACCGGGAAAAAGGCAGCGTGCCTGGGACCGGAAGACGCTTGGATCCACTTCCGGTTCACGGGTCTCCGCCCTTTCCTTCCCGGAAGTGGAAGGTGAGGCGTTGCCATGGCGGCGTCTCTCGGTGTGTAGGTTGACCCATCCCCCTTTGTGGGCTTCTCACATCCACTCCCCACCCGTTTTCTGGGCCCCTCACCCCCCAGTTCAGGTCCCACTCTCCACTTTCCTCACCTGACAGACCCTGCCACAGCCCAAGCCCGGCTCCTGGTCCGTCTCCCCGGCCTCCCGGTCTGCCCTGCCCGCCAGTGGCACCCGGGGCGTCGGAGGGCGGAGGTGGCGGGGGGTGGGGTGAAGGGGGGTTTTGGGGGGTGACTAGCTGGGGACGGTGGCCGGAAGCTGGCTGGCCCGGCGAGCGGCCGATCGGGGGCGGGGAGAGGGTCACTGGCGTCTTCCTCCAGGGCAGGTGCTGGCGCTGGTGCTCGTGGCCGCGCTGTGGGGCGGCACGCAGCCGCTGCTGAAGCGGGCCTCCTCCCGCCTGCAGCACGTCCAGGAGCGGACCTGGCTCCGGCAGTTGCTGCAGGAGATGAAGACCCTCTTCCTGAATATTGAAGTGCGTCTGTGAATGACCCCTAAAATCAATTAAAAAATATTTAAAAAAATAAAAGTCTAAGAAAGGTATCTTCGGGTGAGGATGAACAGAGAGAAGTCTTGGGGTTCGAATTGTCCCCGGGGAGGGAGGATAAGGAAGGCTGTGGAGAATTTCCTCTGACCCCAGCACTACCAAGCTAGGTTTGTGGAAAAGAGAAGACACACACCATCTCTCAGGGTTGAGGGCTCAGGGAGGTGCAGATAAAGCGCTGCATGAGCTTAGAGGAAGGGGGCTAGAGCAAGGGGGATTGCAGGATGGGGAGGATGCGAACTAGCAGGACTGAGGGAGAGGGCATTCAGGGCTGAAGCATAGGGTTCAGTCAGTAACTTTCCCTCTGCCTCTTGCTCTTTGGGGAGGGTGCCTGCAAGTGAAGGCAAGCCCACTGTCTCTGGTTTTCTCTTTGCAACCTCTTCTCAGCTGCAGGGCACAGCCGGCTGGTTTTGAGTGCACTGCCAGGCCCTGGGGTTGGTTTTCAGAGGGCTTAGTGCTCCATGGGTCCTTATAGCATTCCTTCCTCCAAGAAAGGCTTATCTAGAAGCTCAAAGAAGGCAGTGCTGCTCAGTCATGCAATCACACTGACTTTGGATTTCATCTGTTTCCAGTACCTGATTCCCTTTTTCCTCAACCAGTGTGGCTCCCTTCTCTACTACTTCACCTTGGCATCAACAGGTGGGTCTCTGGCTTAGAGTCACTTTGGGGAGGGTGCCTGCAACACCTTATTTCCATGAGTGAAGGTGAACCCACCATCTCTGGTTTTCTCTTTGCACCCCCTTCTCTGAGCTGGAGGGGCACAGTGGGCTGGTTATGAGTATACTGCCAGGCACTAGAATTGATTTGAAGCCTGGCAGTTTTGCTTGTTTTATATATATAACAAATGTGTATATATATATATATATATATTTCATATATATATATTTCATATATATATTTCATATATATATTTCATATATATATTTCATATATATATATATATATATATATATATATATATATATATATATATATTGATTTCAGAGAGGAAGGGAGAGAGATAGGGAGAAACATCAATGGTGAGAGAATCATTGATTGGCTGCCCCCTGCAGGCCCCCTACTACGGAGGATTGAGCCTGCAACCTGGGCATATGCCCCTGGCCAGAATCAAACCTGGGACCCTTTAGTTCACAGACTGATGCTCTATCCACAGAGCCAAACGGGCTAGGGTAAGCCTGGCAGTTTTGTGCAGCAGCAGAAGGAAAAGGAAAGTTCATTTTGCAACTTATCTTTGTCCAACATAGCATGTTGGTGTAGGATTTGAAGCCATATGTTACCTAAAATTTATGCTTTTGAACTTTGCTAAGAGAAGTCTCCCTGTTGTAGCTTCACCTCCCCCGGAGGCTCACCTGGCCGGCCTTGGACTTGAGGGGAGTTTGGGCACCAAGTAGCTTTGGGGAACCCCTCAGAAACAGTGGGTGAGGGAATAGGCTAACCTCTAGACCTGCCACCTTAGCTTCAGCTGGAGCCACTCACTTGCATCTGTTTTACATTTTGAACTTCTCATAATGCTTCATTTAAAAAATGTTTTTCATTGGCTTTTAGAGAGGTAGAGTGAGAGAGAAACACCGATGTGAAAGTGAAACATCGATCAGCTGCCTCCTGCACACTCCCTCCAGGGAATGAGCCCACAACCCTGGCAGGCGCCCTGACTGGGAATCAAACTGGCAACCTTTCGATGTATGGGACAGTGCCCAAATGGAGCCACCCAGGCACGAGCCCATGACTGGAATCGAATCGGTGACTCTTCAGTTCGCAGGCTGACACTATCCACTGAGCCAAACTATGTGGCCTTTTTTAGCCTTGTTTCTTTTATATATGCAAAGATATGATAAGGCTCTTCTTACAGTGTTGAAGATTAAGTGAGATATGTACACAATGCACCTAGCACAGAATATGTGCTTAATAAATGTTTGGTAGGTATTATTGCAGTCATTCTGCTGAGTTTTGGTTGCCTGTCTGGCCAGATGTCCTTCAGATCTCAGGAGCTCTCTTTCAGTGCAAAGATCTCATGCTTATCAGCAAACCAGAGTGGTCTCATACCTTGTAGCTTTGATCTTCATGCTGGGATCCTGAGAGCAAATTAGGAATTAGGAGACCGGGATTTGAATACTGAGGTTTACTGTGACTTCATCTGAGAAATGGAGTCTTGAGATACCTTTTAAATAAAAGCTGTCTAGTCCTAACTGGAGTGGCTCAGTTGGTTGGACATCATCCCGTGCACTGGTTTAATTGTTGGTCAGGACACGATATCCAGTAAGGGGGTGGGTGTGTAGGAGGTGGCCAATCAATGTTTCATCTCTCTCTAAAATTCAAAAAAATTTTTTAAAAGGCTGTCTTGATGATAAAGTGAAAGTGCTTTGTGCTTAAAAAGGCTTTTTTTTTCCTTTTCATCTTTGATTTTTTTCAATTTGACCATTCAGATCTAACTCTAGCTGTGCCCATCAGTAACTCCCTGTCCATCGTCTTCACACTGATTGTTGGAAAGGTCCTTGGAGAAGATATTGGTGGAAAACGTAAGTCCGGCCACTGTAAGTGTGGGAAGCAGCTACTTGGGCCTTGACACCCCTGGGTCAGAATTTCCCCAGCCATCTCCCATGGGTGGGTGAGGAGAGGACCTTCCCCCAGCCTTGCACCAGCTCCTACTGGCATGGCTGGCTTAGAGCCCCTTCATTTCTATCCATTATCCCAGGAACACTTGCAGGCATGGTGCTCACCATGGCAGGAATCACACTCTGCATCACAAGCTCAGTGAGCAAGACCCAGGGACAACCGTCTACCCTTTGAGTGGGCCAACGCCACCCTCCAGCTCTGCTCTCTCCAGGAAGCTCCTTGGGCCCTGAGGCAGGGGATGGACCTAGCACTTCCATCTGAGCCTCAGCTTCCTCATCTCCTATGGGGATAATTACTACCTCGAAGATCACGATAAGAGACCAAGAGTGAAAAGGTTTTGTAACATTCAAGAGCCGTTCAACAGCTAGGATTTAGCACAAGAAACTTCACACTCAACCTCAGCAACCTTTGGTTCCCAGCAGCTCTCTTCCTGCTGACACATGAGGCTCCCAGCCCGGCGACTGTCACTGTGGTGTGTTCGGACTCTCACAACAGCAGGGTCAATGGACTTCAGAGCCCCAGCTGCACTGAGGGCCAGCTCTAGTCTTTAAGCCAGAAATGCAAACAGGAGGCCTCCAGGACTGTCAGAAAGCCTTGGCTACCAATGGGGGGAACTGAGGGGAGGGAGGTGCCTCAAAATGGCAGATGTAGGGGAGATGAGCTGTCTGATAGCCTTGCATGTCTGCCCTCTCAAATAGATAAGACACCTGTGAGCCCAGCACTGCCTAACCAGCCTTTGGCGCAATGCCGGGGCGAGTGGTAGCCGGTAATAAATCTGTAAACGGATGAGGTTAGTATTTTTTTATTGTGACAGACCCACCCCCAAGTTTGTGGTCTCTCCCAAACCCAGCTGGCTACTCCTTTCTCTGGCCAGAGAACCGCATAGGAAATGACCTCGGCAAGCAAAGGAAGACGGGCTGTGAGTTTAGAAGCAGAAGACTGGGGAGGGGCTGAGGGGCTGAAGCATATTCTGCAAGCCCAGGGGAGGCACTGGTTCTTCCACAACAGGCTCCTGGGGCTGCGGATAGAATGTGGCTGCAGAGAGGTAGTCCCAGTTCCCGGCTGGGGCTGTGGCTCTCAAGATGGAGGAGCAGGGGCCGAGGTGGAGATAGCTGCCCCAGCTCCAAGCTGGTTCTCCAGGGGCAGGGCCTCTTCCACTATCTGTGCTGGCCTCTGGGGGCGGGGGGAATCACAGAGAGTGGACCATTAGCATCCCATGTCCAGCCCTCAGCTGAGTTTCCCAACCCCAGGAAAGGAAGAGACTTTAGAAATTAGGATCTGCTCTCTCGTTTAACAAGGTAGGAAGTGGGCTCTGAGATGTTAGATCTGCTCAGAGTCACGGGGAAGAACCGTTCCTGGGACTCGGGGCTGACAGTTTCCAGCTCAGAACTCCTGTCCCAGCATACTGCTTCCAACACCAGCCCACCTGATCCAGGGGTTCCTCTGTCCGGGTGTCTGCATCATCGGCTACTTCCTGGGCCCCTTCTGTTTCCTTCCGTGGCTGGGGAGCCCGATACACTCCTGATGAGGGGACAACAATGGCCGATGCTCAGGCTGAGCCCTGAATATTCTTTCCGTTAATCTTCTCTACCAGCTCCTTCCCCTCCCCTGAGCCTTGCTCCTTGTTACCAAGGAGGATGGCAGGATACTTTAGAAGCAGGACTCTGGCCCCCACCCCGTCCCTTCCGAATCCCTCCCCTGAAGACTCATTTCTCTGAGTTTCCATGTACTTCTTTCCATATGCCAAGTGCTTGTAGAGACAAGGGACTGGCCCTGGCTGGGTAGCTTGGTTGGTTGGAGCATCATCATCTGTTCACCAAAAGGCTGTGGGTTTGATTCCTGGTCAGAGCACATATTTAGGTTATGAGTTCTATCTCTATTGAGGAGTGCATGGGAGGCAACCAATTGATGTTTCTCTTTTATATCAATGTTTCTTTCTCTTTCTTCCCCTTCTCCTCTCTAAAAATCAATAAAAAACAAATCCTCACGTGAGGATTAAGAGAGGCAGACAGGAAGAAATGAGGAACCTTTGTAATAATATGAACAATAAAGATTGATTTAAAAAAAAAAAGAAAAAAGAGGCAGACAGACAGACAGAGGGACTGGAGATGCACATGGGAGACAGCCCTGCTGAGGTCAGGGCTAGTCTGTACCTGGGCATTCTGCCCCCATGGACATTCCCACAGCAGCAGGGACCTCCCCTGTTCCAGTGAGAAGGTGGCGGAGAAGAGCCTCGGTCCAGGGGCCCCTCACCTGATGGAAATGAGAGCATGGGGAGCAGGCTTCTTGACCGAGTAGCCTGCTGGGCTCTGGCATAGAAAGCAGATTGCTCAGTCTGGCTTGGTTCCTTTGGAGGGGGTCGGGTTGCGTGTGTCCTGTGGCCACGGGCCTGCAGAGGGAACACTGCGCTTGGGCCACAGGCACTGGTTGTTCTTACCTTCTCTACTCCCAGTCCAGGCTAACGCCCCCGGTGCCGGTGGCAGCCTGGAGAAGAGATGCTGTCCATCTTCACAGCTGCATCCTCCCGCCCCGCTCCCTCTTCCCATCAGGTAGCCTTCTCCAGGAAGAGTGGCTGATGCCTGGCTCAAGAAGCCCAGGGAGCCCCAGCTGGCTTGGCTCAGTGGATAGAGCGTCAGCCTGTGGCCTGAAGAGTCCTGGGTTCAGTTCCCAGTCAGGGCACATGCCTGGGTTGTGAGCTTGATCCCCAGTGGGGGTCGTACAGGAGGCAGCCAATCAATGATTCTCTCTCATCATTGATATTTCTATTTCTCTCGCCCTCTCCCTTCTTCTCTCAATCAATTAAAATATATATTTCTTAAAAAAAGAAAGAAGGCCAGCAAAACCACGCTGTGTCTCCCTAACCCCCGCTGAATGCTCACTGGCTCATCTCATGGGACATAAGCTCCTGTGGACTCTGCGATGCCAGATACACCACTTCTCTCTGTCAGCACTGAACCTGGCGAGCAGCATTAGGTCCAGGAAGTCAGAGTCCTCACATTCTTCATAGAGCCTGGGTGAGCACTTTCCGATCAGGTTCTGGTCTGGACCCTACCACTCAATAACTGTGCCACCCTGAACAAGTTACTTCACTCCTTTGAACTCCATTCTCTCCTCTGGAAAATGGGAATAATAATCTGTCTTTCACACCGTTACTGAGAGGATGCAGGGAGGTAAGGGCAGAGCCTAAGCTGCAGGAGGAGTCAGCCAGTCACTCTCCTTCCTTCCCTCGCTCCCTTTGGCTTCACAGGTCACCTACCCCTTGCTTGTGGGGCTTAGACTTTGGGTCTCGAGGAAGCCTGCAAGGAAAAAGGAAAGGCTTGTAGGAGGCAGAAGAGGACATGGGGTCAGGTTGGCTTGCTCAGCTCTAACCAGCTACCCGCTGCGTGCGCGCGGCTCCCCTCCCCTCCACACACATACATACCAGCAGCCCCTGGGCAGTGAGGGGTTAGGCACCAGCAGCTCCAGATAGGGGAGAGCCTTGAATTCATCTTCTCCAACAGCCACATAGTAACGGCCACTCACCAGAGCCTCCCTTGCTGACAACGGGAGGCCCTCCAGGGTGCAGAGTCTGGGGGAGAGGTGAGTGGAGGAGATGCCCCTTCATATTGGGCAGATTATGAGGGGGTGGGTACAGCTATTCCAGGGTATCTTGTGGCTACTGGTCCTCTGGGCACCAGGGCCAGTCACCTAGGCTCTGCCCTGGCTCCAAGAGCGGGGCTGGAGGGCCTCCCCTGTGGCACAGAAAGAAATCCCATTTAGCGAAACGGGCTTTCCTTTTGCCTTTTCATCAAGGACAGACCGGTGAGGAGGCTCCCTCGGGAGACTTTTGGCTCCTCCAGTCCCCATACTCACTTGCGCACCGCCCCGCTCTGTAATTTGGCCTTCTCAGTCAGGAGCTTCAGCACTGTCTCCCAGTCCTCGCTGGCAGCCTGGGACAGCTTCAGGCCAAATGGGGGACTTAGCAGGTCCCCGTTCCTGAACACACTGGGACAAAGAGCAGCCTGGTAAGGGGGAGGGTCCCCAGAACTTCCTATGTATGAAAGGAAAAAGGGTGGCACACGGATCAGAAGATGGTTCAAGAACCAGCAGTGCCTTGGTCCATTTCCACCCATCAAGCATGTGGGACTTTTTATATTCCCACCAGGCACCGTGAAATAAACCCACTCACATTTTCTCGGTCTCACCGAGACAAAAATGCATGCCCCTGCTCTGGACATGAGCACTTACTGGATATAGCAGGGAGAGCCTGCAGGTCTCCATCCAAGCGCTCCGTCACCTGGGTGCTGAGTCACAGGACAACACTGAAACCCAAATCGGGTGAGTGCTGAGGCTTTTGGTTAGGGTGGGTCAGTCCAAGGCAGGCAGGGTGAGGGCAAGGATCCAGACTGGGCAGAGGGGGCAAGAAGGGGTGGTATTGGTCATATCTGCACCAAAGGGTTCTTCTAACTCCCCAAGTCACGTTCTAATCACCCCTGCCCATGTGTTTTACCGCTTCCTCTTTCCTTTGGGGAGAGATCAAGTGCGAGGCTGGGAAGGGAGCAAGGGATAGTGTCTGGAAATCGTACACCCAGAAAGCACAGTATCTGTTCCAGAGTAGGCGTGGAGACTGCTGTCGTGAGCCTGGCAGGTCCTGCCCTTCCCAGGGCCCCTGGCTTCCCAGATGAAATTGGAGGCAATCCCAGAGTGGGGAGGACTTACTGGTAGTCTGCTGCTTTTCCCACCTGGATCCTTCCCTCCAGGGGGCAAGTAGCTGAAAGGACAGATAGGCCATAGGTCATCTTGGGGCGCCTTGTAGATGCTAGAGCTCGGGGCTGGGGCCCAGCTCACCAGCCATCCCTTCCCAGTGGAACAGTCTGCCATTTCAGTCCGGAAACAGATGCTGACACTTGAACCTGCCTTAGTGTCCTCAGTCAGGTTGACGCAAACCGTAAGATTAAAGGTTGAGAGAAACTAATTCATTAAGCATCCTACTGTATCTCAGACATTTTCTCACCCGTGAGGAAGAGCCTTTGGTAAAAGGGGCTCAGCCTGTGGAATGGTTTCCTTCTCACGGCTGGTTGTGATGGACACAAAACATCAGTGTCAGACTTCAACCGTAACTGTGGCTCCACTATTTGTTACTTTATTGTCTAGATTTCCCCTTTCTAAAGGATGGGAACAAGACCACCCCTTTTATAGGGTTGCTGCATTTATAATGTTTATAAAGTGTCTGCATATACATAGTACTGAACATGTGCTATCGCCATTACCTCCCTCCCTACTCTGACCAGCCCCAGCCTACTCACTGCAGCTTGCAGAATCGCTCAAAGCCAGCAGCCACGTACTGCCCTCCGTTCTGCAGGTCGGCCAGGTCAGTGACAGGGTGGCCATGACAAGGAGTGTACAGGGCACGCACCGCCAGTGAGGCCTGCACCGCTGACGTGACCTCTCTGAGGAAGGTCTCCAGGGTGGGGAAGCGGCGCTGAGTGACCACCAGCTGGCGGCCTGGGAAGAAAGGGTCCCCATTCCGGTACACCACTACCCTCTTGGCTGCCATAGTGTGCTCTCCGCCAGACGCAGAGCTGTTGCCAGGCAACGAAGGCAGGCCTGGGAGCAGTGCCAGTCAGAGGTGGAGGCCTGCCCTCACTCAGGAATGCAGGGAGAGCCTCAGCAGGAACATGTGTCCACATTCAGGGTCTTATTCAATCTGCCCTTGCACAGGCCTCTCCAGAGCAGCAAGAGTGTAATCACTATATACAAGGCAGATGCTGGGCTCTGAGAGAGGCAGTGGCAGAGATCACACTAAAATACAGATGGTCCAATACTGGGCAGAGGGAGGGCTTCTCAGAATCTCCCTGTCACCTTACAGCCCAAGGGCTGAGCTCAAAGGAGGATCAGCTGTGGGGATTATTTCCCAAGGATGGCGAGTGTGCTTCCAGCCAGTTCTGGTAGGAAGGCCCAGTGAATGCAATGAGGCTCAGAATCCAAAGAAAAGCTTTATTTTCCATCAGGTCTCCCCATGTACTTACCTAGGTAACTCCCTGTCCTGAAATTTGGATTGCGCCCAGGCAAAGGATGAAAGTGTCCTTCTCCCTCTTCTCCCTGTACTGGTGCCAACTCTTTGCTCCAGCTTCTCTTAGCCCCACTGGCCACCAGCAGCCAGGGGCAGGAGGTAGAACTGGTGCCGGGGACCTGCCTCCTTGTCCTTTCCTATCAGCCCTGGCTCCCCCAGGGTCTGGCCTGCTGTCCTGTCTCCCACAGCCTGTCCCTCCAGTGCTTCTCTCCCATGCTATCTGCCCTGCAGAAGACAGCTTCTCTAGTGGCCTTGATCTCTAAGGTGCAGTCCTCTGGCTTTTCCATCCTCCAGAGCTAGGCTCATTGGAATCTCTACCTCTGGAGCTTTTATTCCTGGGGGTCTGGCCCTGGGTGGTTTAGTCCTCCAGAGATCCAGGCTACCACGTTCTGCCGAAGTCCCACCCCAGGTGACCCGGTCCTCTGAGAGGCCCAACTCTCGTGGCCTAGCTCTTTGGCAAGTAGGCTCTTTGTGGTCCGACCTTTTGGGAGACTTATCTTCAATATCTGGGTCCACGCGGTGTGTGGACAGCTGTGTCCGGGCCTTTCCAGAAGTGTGACCCTTAGATTTGAGGCCTTTGGGAGTCTGGTCCTCTAGTTTCGTCAGCTGTAGGCAGGTCCCCCCAACGGTCTGTTCCTCACGATGTGGCTCCTTGGGGAGCCAGTTCTCTGTGGCTTGCTTATCTGCTGGTGTGGGAGGCTGTGGTCCAGCCCTCCTGCTGTCTGGGTCCCTGTATTTGGCCCCAGCAGCGGTTTCATCTGTAGTGGCCAGTCTTTCTGGGGTTTTGTGAGGTTGTGGTCTGAGCCTCCAGCAAGAGTCGTCTGCATGCTCTTGCTTTCCAGGTATCCTGTCTCTGCAGTCCTGGTCTTCCAGAGGGGGGCCTGGCTGTGACCCAGCTTTCTCACAGCTCTGTCCTCCATGGTCTAACCTTGCCTCCGGGGATCCCAGGGTTTGTTTGAGAACTAGGTACTGTTGGGAAGAGAACAAACACTGTACCAGGCAGGCCTGATGGGCATGGCAGGAGGCTTGTCCCTCACCGCCACCCTTGGCTCTAAATGTGCACAAAGGGCTCCAAGTTAGTGCCTACCTCCTTTCGGCTATTGATGGCCTGCTGTATCCACAGCAGCTCCATGGCCAAGTGGCTGCGAAGGTACTGGAGCTCCTGGAGGTCTGTTGGACTGTGGGGCAGTCCTGGACCTGTAGCCTCTGAGAAAGAGGGAGGAATGGGAGAAAGCCTTGGGGGGTAAATACTGGGCAATGACCTAGCATTAGACCCTAGCACCCTCCTCCTGTCCACCCACAGTTGCCCTCAACTAGGCAGAAGGAAGGAGGATGGGGTGCAACTTATCTAAAAGAAAACTTTCACTTTGCCGTGGCCAGTTTGGCTCAGTGGATAGAGCATCGGCCTGCGGACTGAAGGGTCCCGGGTTTGATTCCAGTCAAGGGCACATGCCCAGGTTGTGGGTTCAGTCCCCAGTGAGGGGCATGCAGGAGGCAGCTGATCAATGATTCTCTTTCATCATTGATGTTTCTCTCTCTCTCCCCCCTCTCCCTTCCTCTCTGAAATCAATAAAAAAAAATAGATTTTTTTAAAAAAGCCTTTCACTTTTTAGTTTTGTAGCCGAAGAAACCGCTGAGCTAAAGCCAGCCCACCTTTCACTTTTTAGATGGGAAAGTCGGCGCCCAGAGGGGTGATGGACTTGCTCTGATCTAGGCAGAGAGGTACCTGGGGTCCCCGTCCTTGGCACAGCTTCAGTCTCCTCTTGGCCAGGTTTCCTGGTTTTCCTGCTTTGCTGATCCTGAAGCCAGGAGCTCTCATCTCTGCAGTGAAGACTTTCTGAGTTTGCTGAGCTCTCTCCTGACTTCTTCAGCATCATCTCCTCTCTCTCAGGCTCCTTACATGGGAAGGAACTCCACAGTTCCTGCTCTGACTTTGGTACCCTCTGTCCAACTTTCCAGTTCCGATGGGGTTTTGCCTTCTGAGAAATCAGAGAGAGATGAGTGCCCCATGGGCTAAACCTCTAAGTAACTGGGTGCTATTATGCTTACAAGTTGGGGGGAGATTCAGGATTGGGGTGTGAGGAAGTAATTCTGCTGCTGCCTTTTCCATTGAGAAAAGCTTGTCAGCAGGAAGGGTGGAGTCTACATTCCTTTGGATCCCCTACCCCAACCCCTTCTCCTTCTGGGTGTGTACTACCTGTGGGAGAAACTGGGGCCTGGGAATCCGGCCTTCAGTCCACTGCAGTGTGCCCAGGTCACCCTCGATCTCATGCACAACAGCCTCATACTCTGCTCGCAGACCCTGGAACCGGCGTCGGACCAGGAAACCCCGGACGCAGGCCTGGTGGGGAAAGCAAACCTAATCACTGCAAAAGTGGAGGCATCTTCTGGGATTCTCCTGGGGAGGTCATCCCGTGGCCACGCGGAAAGGAGAGGTGACGCTGTGCGCTGGGGCTCCGGGCTGGACCCCTCTCTTCCATGTAAGGTCCTTCCAGCGTTTCCATGATCCCTCAAAGTGTGCGGCGGGAGCGCGCGGGGGCCCAGCCTTCCCAGGGCGGTGCGTGGGTCGGAACCTCTGAGTTCCCCCGGGGGTATCATGTGCACCCCGACCACCGGTACCTGCAGCAGCACCACCTTCCGAACCAACCGCTCCCGCCCCGGCTCCGGCTCCATCTCCGTGTCAACCGCCCCGAGCGGCTGCCGGCGCTGCGTAGTGCGTCACTAGTCGGCGCCGAGAGCCGGAGGCGCTGGCCCCGCCCCCGTCTCCATGGCAACCTTCCCTCCGCCCGGGATGGACAGGCCGCGCCTCCGCCCCCTCCCGGGGGATTCGGACTCCGGAGCCGCAACTCCCGAACCAGTGTGCTGGGCCGGGGGAGTGGGGGGGTCTGCCCGGCCGAGAAAGACGCGGTGCGGAGGGAGGACACGGAGCCGCTTGCTTTCATTCCGTTTAATTCCGTGGATGCCCCCCTCCCCGTAGCACCTGGGGGGCCACAGAATTCGCAGTGGAGTCAGTAAAAAGTTACAGTTTGAAGGGAAGGCGGTCTGGGCGTAGGTCCGACACCTACACAGCCGCCTGCTCCTCAGGCTCCGCGTTCTCGGCCAGGTGCAACTTCTGTCTGTGCCCGTCAAGGATCGGACACTGCGGACCCAGGCTTCCCGCCCCGTCTTCCCCGCACAGCTGGCTCTGCACCCGCGAGAAGGGCTGTGCAAGCGACTCTGCGGCGCTTGTGGTCTGGGCTTGCAGTCTCCATTGGCCCTTCTTGCCAGGTGGCCTAGCCCATTCTCTTTTGATCTAGTAGATCCTGCAGGTGCCTGCACCCTTACTGTTTCTGACCAGGACTAAATAGGGAGATCATCTAAATCTGCAAATAAATGAGTGCTGAAAGGTTAGGAAGACATTCGACAAGCTTTGCCACGGGTTGGTGTCAGCTTAAGTGCTTGCAGAGATTTTGGATAAGTACGTAAAACATATTCCCTGCAACCACCTTTCCCCTAATATTTGGGAAATTCTCCCGGCCCTCCTTTTCCTGGGTGGGGCAGTCTGTGGCTAATTCTGACTTAGTAGGACATCGGAGTGTGGGGATGATGGTTCCATTGCCCTTAGAAGGGCAAGGAGGTAAACACTCCTGGAGGGTGGTAGGGAAGAGGAAATCGATATAATCTCTGGAGGCCCATACACTCATACACAGGTCCCGGAAAGGATACATAGAATTACTAAGATCTTCCAGCTGTGGAGAGAAAGAGACATTCCTGTCAGAAGAGGCACCAGGCCCAGCCCAGTGTGCCGTTTTCTAGTGGGCTTGAGAGACCCAGAGCTCTTCGCCTTATGCACCCCCAGCTTTTCAGCCAGGGGTCAATGAAGGAGCAGTACTTCCCCCCTCCCCTGGGCCCCCAGGCAGCAGAGCATCAGCCCTGACCCACATTGCTAAGCAGCTGGTCCAGGTTGCGGTCAGCTGTGGTCTTCTTCTGCTCTTCGGGCAGCCCCTCAGTGACCCCGTCCTCTTCTTCCTCCTCTTCCTCCTCCTCCCCACACACGTCCAGGCTGAAGTGCAACCGGGCCAGCTTCTCCTGCATCTCCCGCACGTGCTCCAACTGCTCAAAGGAGCATTCCTTCCCTGGACAGCACCTGTCTGAGCCCTGGGAGCAAGTTGGGGACCGAGGCCCCAACCACTCCCCAGAGACCAGGCCCTCTAGCCGTGCCCCCCCACACACACCCTCCAAACCCAGCTCCCGGGACTCACCGAAGGCCTGGAGCCGGCCTGAGTGGAAGTCATTGAGCAGGTTCAGCAGTCCTCCCTCCATCTCATAAACATCGGTCACCTCAGTCAGGAACGAGTGCTGCAGGGGGGTGCTTGCAGAGCCACCCCCCCCTCCGGCCAGCACTGGGCGGCATTTCTCCTTGCCTGCCCTGGTGGAGTGGACACCACCAAAGTCACAGGGCACCCCCAGGTCTGTCGGTACACTAATTCATCGTCCTACCCACTCACCCACATAAACGGATGTGTGTTCTTCTGGCCTGCGCTGGGCACCAGGCCTGATAAAGGGAAGGGAGGATGAGGAAAGGTGAGGGTAAGAGGTCAAAATAAGTTTGGGTGTTTTTTTTTCTGCCAATGACAAAGTCAGAGCCATGCCTGGAAGGAGGCTCCTGGGTTCCTTGTCCTCACTGTTCCTCAGTGAATTTGGGGACAGTTACCTCCTTATTGCCATGAGAGCTCTTACCTCTCCCCATAATATCTTTCTGACCCTCTTCTACTTAAAAACTTTTAAAAAATTTTTATTGATTGATTTTGAAAGAGAAAGAGAAAACACATTGATTTTGTTGTTCTACTTATGTATGCAATCATTGGTTGATTCTTTTTTTTTTTTCAGTCCATTGGTTGATTCTTATATGTCCCCTGACTGAGGTCAAACTGCAACTTTGGTGTATCAGGAAGATGCTCTAACCAACTGAGCTACCAGGCCAGGGCCTTTAAAAACTGTTTTGAGCCGGGACCGGTTTGGCTCAGTGGATAGAGCGTCGGCCTGCGGATTGAAAAGTCCCGGGTTCGATTCCTGTCAAGGGCATGTACCTTGGTTGCGGGCACATCCCCAGTAGGGGGTGTGCAAGAGGCAGCTGATTAATGATTCTCTCTCATCGATGTTTCTAACTCTCTGTCCCTCTCAATTCCTCTCTGTGTAAAATCAATAAAATATATTTTAAAAAAAACTGTTTTGAATTTTCCATTGCCCTTAGAACGACACCCAATGACTTCCCCGCCTGCCCCCATCTGCAATCCCATTCTCCAGCTGCGTTTCTTCTCATTCCTGGCCCAGTCCCGAGCTTCAGCTCTACCCACTGTGGCTGCCCCTAAGGCAGGGGATGCCAAAGCCAAAGGGAAACAGAGCAGTTGGAGAAAGAACACACAGGGACACAGTATAGGGTAGGGTGCAGATTCCCAAACATTAAAAAAAGGAAAAAAGAAAAAAGCCATGGATGGACCTTGAGAATGTTATGCTTTGTGAAATAAGTCAGTCAGAAAAAGCTAAGAACCATATGATTTCACTTGTATGCAGGATATAAACTGAAACAAACACAGACAACAGTGTGGTGGTTACAGAGGGAAGGGTGGGTGAGTAAAGGGGAAAGGGGCAAATATATGGTGTCAGAAGATGCCACCCCAATACACTTAATTTAAAAACTAGGCAAATACGTCTAATTGTGTACCCGAGTAGCTCCTCACCTTTTCCTACTTAGGACACTCCGGAGCCACCAACCCACTGTGGTTCCTGGAACTTTCCAGGCAGTGTTTTTCTTCCTTCTTATGCCAAGCAAGCTCCTTAGAACATCCTCCCTGCCCAGGGTACCCTCCAGCCTTTGTCTCTCACTTCCTGGCAGGCAGTGCTGCTCCCTCCCTCTCTGAGGTGGTTCAGTCACCTCACTGTGTGACCCCCCCCCCCCCCCGCCCCGTTTCCCCACACCCTTTAGGACAGAGCATTTGGGTTCTCAGGGGCATCCCCCTGGGAAAAGCATCAGTTACTGTTCAGGATCTAAAGGCTAAGGCCCCTTTACAGGGCTCAGCTTAGAGTTAGGGCCCCCCCCCACTTCTTTCCCTTTCCCTCTGTACCCACCTCTTGAACTTGGCCCTCTGTTTGGGGGACGGCAGATGAGGGAGGCCCAGGGCCAAGGAACCACTGTGGCTGGTGGGCACAGGGACCCTGCGGAGCGTTCCTGGGGCTGCGGCCGGCTGGGTCAGGCAGGGCTTGGGGCTCCTTTTCTTCTTCTTGTCCTCCATTGGTACCGGGGGCAGCCCCACTGAGATCTGAGAAGCAAAATCATCCCTTCACCTACCAAGCCCTGAGAGCTGCAAAGGAAGGCCCTGGACTTTCCAGCTGTCCCTTCACATCTGTCAGGGCCTCTGTCCTCTCATCTGTCCAGTATGGGCAGGGCCCATTGCCAGCGCCTACTGCTGGGTCGTGGATCTGCACTTGAAGGGCCTTTTGAGCCCACACAGGTCCCGCACCTGTCCTCCAGCCCCACCTGACGGGCTGCACCGGCAGGATTCTCCAGAGGCTGCCGGCTTCCCTGCCTGTCGCCGAGGGGGCGGAGGACAGAGAGGCAGGGGAGGTGAGCTGGCAGGAACTCCGGAGGATTAGGGGTGTGTTAGCCAGGCCACGCTCTATAGATCAACTGCTTAGGCAGAAGCTGGGAGCATCTGCTTGGGAAGTGACCAAGCTGTGGGTGTGCCACACACTTAACCACCGGAGGGTGGGTAACAGCGGGAGAAGCGGTGGCATGCAGGGCGGGCTCAGTGTGGGGTTTTCCCCTATTTAGATGCTTGCACCCCCTCCCCCTCCACCCACCCCAAACTCAAACACCAGGCAACTCTCCTAAGTTCCCCGGGACATGCTTCCAGCTGCTTCACCCTCCCCACTCACAGAGTCCCTGCTTGGCTTCAGCTGGGGTGGGTGGTGGGCAGCAGCTGGCTGCCTTGGCCCCAATGGCTGGCCTGTGGCTGGCACTGCTGGGCCCCCAGCCAGCTCCGCCCGCAGGCCCAGGTCTGTTAGGTCCTCCCCGGAGAGGTCAGGGGCCCTTTCCGGGGTTTTCCCAGCTGCTCCTTCCAAGATGCTCCCCCCACGCCTGAGTCTGCACTCCGGGATGGAGGTGGTGCCGGGGCATTTAAACTGGCACAGGGCTGGTTGGCAGTCAGGGGGTGTGGTAGGGGAGAGACCGGCGGGAGCTTGACCCAGTTACGGTCTGGATAGAAGAATTGGAGTGGGAGCCTCTGCTCCCCAGGAACCGCTGGGGACGGGCTCACCCCCCAAAACCGTGTGCCAAGGGGATCGCTCAGCTCAGGAGCCAGGGTCTCAAGGGGAGTGTGATGCTGCCCCACCGCACTCCCGAGGGGCAACAGACCTGGAGCTCGGGGTCTGGACTGAAGCTTCCGTGAGTGTTCCTCCGCCCTCAGCACTCTCCTGCCGGAACGCCAACGGGAGCGGGAGGGGTGGAAGCAGAGCTGGCAGGAGGCAATTTGCATTTAAAGAGAAAGTGACCTTTATCGCTGGTGGTGGGATAAGGCGGGAGAGCATCTCCACATTTATTGTGCTGTTCCCCTCGAGACTCTACCTCCGCACCCGAACAAGGTGTCTACGATGTTGTGTGATGGCAATCTAAAAATCCTTTCACTTTCCCATCTGCTTTGGAGAGAAACTATAGGCTCACAAAATGGTCGTGGCTTTGCCAGAAAGAGGAATGCCGAGCGGGAAGATGAGCGGACACACATAACAGCAGGTAAGAGGCACCAGAGCAGCAGCAACAGGGAGACAATGAGCTGCCAGTGAGTCCAGGACCCCTTTAAGCATTTCATGGTCATTGAATCCTCATGACAGCCTGACGGAAGGTGCCGTCATCGCCGCCTTTTCCGGACAGCCAACAATGGTCTTTTTTTTTTTTAAATTATTATAGAATTATACTTATTATTATTATTTTTTATATTTTATTGATTTTGTACAGAGAGGAAGGGAGAGAGATAGCAAGTTAGAAACACCGATGAGAGAGAGCCATCGATCAGCTGCCTCTTGCACACCCCCTACTGGGGATGTGCCCGCAACCAAGGTACATGCCCTTGCCCGGAATCGAACCCGGGACCCTTCAGTCCCCAAGCCGACGCTCTATCCACTGAGCCAAACCGGTTTTGGCAACAACGGTCTTTTGAGGGCAGTAGCACTCCTCCCACAACACCCAGGCTGTGCTCAGTCACCGATGAAGTGACAGGACAAGTGTCTAACCACCCCGCCCCCTCCCCACCGCAGGCCCAGGAGACCTGGGAGGGGCATCGGGTGAATGGAAACCTGTGAGTTTGACGGAGGCTGACATCACTTCCCCACCCCCTGCTGCCCCAGGTTGGGCATGTGACGGGGTGGGGTCGGGGCTGGGGGTCAATGGGGCAGCTATTTAAAGACCTGGCAAAGGCTCCGGCTCAGGTCCTCAGAGAAGCATCTGATGCAACTGGAGACAAGCTGTTCCACAGGCTCAAATAACTGCCCCAGGCCAGTGCACGCAGCTCCTCCCCGAGGGCCAGGGCAGCTTCCCTGGCCTGGGCCTGAGGCTGCTGGAGAGGGAAAGGCACTGCTTCAGCAGGCTCCAGAGCAGGGCTCTGTCCCAGTGCTTCCAATGCCCAGGCTGCTCCTGGAGGGGAGACATTAGGTCAGGGCTTGTTCAATAAGCAGGGATCGGAGAGAGGGGCCTGCGTAGGCCACGGCAGAGCGGACAACTGGAAGGCCCTCTCCTTCCTCACCAGAAGTGCCGGCGTGGCACCGGGCTCCTCTAGGAAAGTGGCAGAGGGCCAGGCGCACCTCTACGGTGAAGTTATTCTTAGAGCTGCTTTGCTCAGAGCTCCCAGTTATGGCGGCCTCCCCCAAAGGGGAGACAGTAAGGACCTTTAGGACCAAGGACTGGATTTTTGTTGTTGTTGTTTTTTAAAAAATATTTTATTGCCAAGACCGGTTTGGCTCAATGGATAGAGCGTTGGCTTGGGGACTGAAGGGTCCCGGGTTTGATTCCGGTCAAGGGCATGTATCTTGGTTGTGGGCATATCCCCAGTAGAGGGTGTGCAGGAGGCAGCTGATCGATGACTCTCTCTCATCCTTTCTAACTCTCTATCTCTCTCCCTTCCTTTCTGTACAAAATCAATAAAATATATTAAAAAAATATTTTATTGATTTTTCTTACAGAGAGGAAGGGATAGGGATAGAGAGCTAGAAACATCGATGAGAAACATCGACCAGCTGCCTCTTGCACACCCCCTACTGGGAATGTGCCCGCAACCCATGCACATGCCCTTGACCAGAATCGAACCTGGGACCCTTCAGTCCGCAGACCAATGCTCTACCGCTGAACCAAACTGGTTTCGGCTGGGACCAAGGACTGTTAAGCCAGCTTGGACACATCTACCTGTGGAGGCCTGGAGGGGAGGGCACTTGGTGTCTGTCATTGGCTGGCCATTCATGTATGGTCCTTCGTGATGAACAGCCCGGGCCCCAGAGAGAACAGGGTGCTGGGTGAGACATTCAGAATGCGTCCCACATAGGAGGTTGGGGTAGGTGAGCAGAAGTGCATAAGAAACAGTTCATTCTTTTTAAAAAAATCTCACTGGAGGATGTTTTTACTGAGAGAAAAAGAGAGAGAGGAGAGAGGGAGAGGGAGAGGGAGAAGGAGAGGGAGAGAGAGAGGTGTATCTATTAGCTGCTTCCTGTATGCACCCTGACCCCAACCAGGGATTGAACCTGAAATCTTTTGGTGCAGGGGGATGACACTGCAACCAATGGAGCCACCCAGTTGGTGAAACCGGTTCATTCTTAACTGTATGCAGAATGTGGTAAAAAAAAAAAAACCACCACAACACACACAAAATCAAAGGAAAGGAACCTGGATGTCCCTGGTGCGCTGGTGCCAGATGTTGCCCATGGCAGACTGCCCAGATGGACGTGATGCCACCTAATTTGGATCTCACCATGAGCCTAGCTTTCTGTTGCCCTTGCTTTTGCATTCCTCATGGACCCTCCCTATCCCCTACCTCAAGACTGTCAGTGGGTCTCCCTGGTATAGCCCGAATTCCTTCACCTGGCACACAGGTCTGGGTGACTTATTTGGCCCTGCCTCATCTCTTCCACGCCCTCCAGTGCACCGGCATTGAACCACTGTTACTAAACAAGGTGGGAGAACGTCTGGCCTGCAGCTATATAAGGCCCGTGAAATAAGTTGGCCTGACCCTGCCAAGGCAACCATAGGTAGGACTCGAAATTCAATAAATCTAAGAGCATTTTTCATATCAACACATATATATTAAGTAAATGTTATAAATATGCAAATAGCCCTTAGCAAAAGAAGGCTCCCTATCCCTGTACTAAATGGTTATTGAACTTCTACCTGCTCTTTGGGCCATAGGCCCTTCCAGGTATCCTCCTGTTCTCCTGCTGAAGGGGACAGGGTTTTCCTCATCTTTGCTCCCATAGGACAGCCTCCCCTTCCACATCTAAACCTTCCTCTTCCCTCACCAACTGTGTGAAAATCATTTCTGGTGCTCCCATATACATGTGTATCATGTCACGTTTGCCAAGGGCTCCTCGGGCAGCTCCGGTGAGCCCGTGTCCTGAGCTGGCAGGGAGGGCACTTTGGAAGATGCAGGGTGTCAGGGCACAGCCAGACCTGGCAGCAGATCCAGATAAATCACTGATGGCTGGATGGATTCAGAAGCCCAAATGACCACAAAGGTCACGAGAGAAGCAATAAGGCAACAGACTCTTTATTTAATATGGTTTAAAATACATCAAAATCAAGTCCCTGGCTGTTGTGAATACCAAAATGAGACCCCAACCAAAAAAAAGAAAAAAAAAAGAAAAAGCTGTCAGCACAGCTTCAAACAAACCTGGGTGGCAAGTGGGCCATAAGGGAAGCAGTTAAGGGACAGATGACAGCACCCCTCCCCCTGGAGGTGGGTACCCGGCTGTCCCTAGGGTGACCTTCTGTGCTGTGCAAGGTGGGAGGGGTGGACAATCAGCTCAGCAGGCCTTGGCCTCCCCTATACACCAGGGCAGCTCCAGGGGCCTCCTTGGCCAGCCCTCAGCAGGGCCACCACAGTGGGGTAGAGAAGGGAAAATAACCATCTTTACAGACATAACATTCTCTTACAGAAAAAAGTGCCTGAGCTCAGCCCATGGTCCAAAAACCTCATGGAAAAGGAACAAAAAAGTGCTGTTGACACCTCTTAGAATCTGGTGTGCATGGAGCTCTCAGCTGGACAAGGTCTGAACACAAACTACTGTCAGCAGAGCCAAGTGCTCTGGGCTGAGCGCCTCGCCTGCTGCGGTCCCCTGGAGGGAAAGCTAGCAATCCAAGAAACCAACACAGCTTTTGGTCCTAGAACTGAGGTCATGTGCACAGGACCTGCCCTAGTGAGGAAGGCACTGGCCTTCAGAGAGGCCACAGCCCCTGCATCTGGCCCAGGCTCCCGGCTGGCAGAACCCAGTACCTGGGCTGACTTTGGAAAGCGGAGCAAGCAGAACAGCTGTAGTGATTACAATTTGGTCAATGGAGTTAGAGGAATGGGATCCCCACCTGCAGGCTGGCCAGGATGCCCAGGGCCTATTATTTCTACCTGGGAAGCCCAGTTGGGGCCACCTTGCTCACTGTAGCTCCACTTCGTTTCAGAGCTGTTGTGCTGAGTTCTCACCCCACCACACTGGGCTCCCTTCCCGCTAACCCCATGGGCTTTGAGGTAGGTGAAGTGAGGCAGGCCATCATGTGGGCTGCTGCAGGTCTACCTGATCTTTAAAGGGGTGGGCAAAAGCTTCTACCTCCTCCCAGTGCTCCCACAGCCCAGCAAACCCTGTATGGGGCAGTTCTCGAGTACCTCAGCGGAGCATGAGTGAGGGAGCCGTACTGGGACAGGAAGAGGCATGTTCAGGGACCATTCTAGACACACCCCTGTCAGAGGGAAAGACAAGACCTTGGGAACACTTCTCCACGGGAGAGCAGCATCTCAGCCAGGGACAGTAAACAGGCCTCCGCACTTGCACTGGCTGCTGAGGGACCTCAGGAAGTGAAACTCAGGAATGAACAGGGAATACACTGAAGAGATCAGTGGGAACTATGGAGCAGAGAAGCGGTGTACCTTTCACTTGCCATCTCAGGTCAAAGTCAGAACACAAGAATTTAATAATCTTCATGAACCTATTTTATGAGGGATTTAAGGGCTGAAAGAATGGGCTAGTTGTGCAAGATGAAAGAACCTGTATGATAATAAGTTAGCTGTAAGAAAATATAGCAAGCATCAGCTCAACCGTTTTATCTACCTCGGCCTGCGGCTCCCTCAGCTACACTGAAGCCCAGGCCCAGCTGGAGATGGGGCAGAGTCCCCAAGCCCAGCAGTTCTGCTTCCTGGTCCAAGACTTTGATGTTCCCGAAAACTGCTCTGTCTAGAGATGGCCTATACCTTAGGCAAGTTTGCAACCAGCAGAACTTTCAGAGTATAGAGGAACATGTAAGAGGGGATTATGAAATATGTGAATATCTGCAGCCATTTTGTGGCTTTCTTAGGGTCAATTTTCTTACCCAATGCCAGATAAGAGCAGAGGCCCCCACACAGGAAGAAGTAGGATATGGAGGACACCTCAGCTCTTACTCCTTGGACAATAGAACTAGAACAAACCTCAAGGACTGCGCAGAGGGTGAGAGCAGGAAGCAGAAAGACTCACAAAACCACCGCGAACAGCTGCTCCTGGGGCCGAGCAACTGCTACATGGAGGCAGTGGTGGCCCTCCAGGACGGAAAGCCCCCTCCTTTCTCTCCTACAATTTGATGTCATCCAACAGGAAACCTAAGCACCAACAGGACAGAAGTGCCGGGCGGGTGGGGAGGGTGGTGGGGCACTGGAAGCCAGGAACCCAGGCACCACTGCCAGAGTATTCCCCCTCCCTCCTCAGAAGACTCAACACAAAGACCGTCATGTGCAACAAAAACGAAAAGCCTTCAGAAAGAATCCTCTGGGTGATCCCATCAATCATTTGTGCAGGCGAGAGAGGCACCTGTGAATGATAAGGCTACTGAGAAGCATCACTGGCCTGGTCCTGGCACTAACAGGCAGGGGAAGCAGTGCCCCAAGGGCTCCCTATCAGCCCGTCATCCCACACAGAAACATTCTCCAGGTTCCTGGTCTGAGGCAGGAAAGTGGTTTGGTCACCAGCTGAGCGCCCTGCCAAGGCTCTGTCGGGGGACCCCTTTCCTGGTCCAGGGGAGCTAGGAGAGCCAGAGCTGCCACAGCCCTGCTAACAAGAGAAACACAGTCAGGCCTGGGTGTCGCTTGTCATGATCCCTGAAGGGCAGGGCGGGGAGGGGCTGAGCCTCATGTCAGGCAGGGAAATGTTCAGGTCACTGTCCTCAAGGTCACTGAGGCGGCTACAGATGACGACTCCGCTTTGACTCTTCAGCTCACAGAAGAGCCACTGACTTCATCTGTACACATCCGCTCCACATCCAATGCAAGCCTATCTTACACTTACAGATATAAATGTATGAGGCCTTGCACATGTCAGATGTATGTGAAGCCGACTCACCAAATTTAGATGCCAGCCAGGTCAGAGCACCCTGGGCCTCAGCACTGGACTACTTAGCAGTGGGAGCCTTGCACGGGCCAGGCCTGGCTGGGCTGCTTGCTCCCTTCCCAGCATGCCCCTGGTGCCAGGCTCCCTAGGCGGTGGTGGAGGTGGGCTCCCGGGGCCCCGTTTGGCCTGATGCTTCTGTGCTCGGTGCTCCAGGGCAGCAGGGAGCTTCTGTGGTTCCTACAGAGCTGGGTGCTTGGGCCCCGGGCGCCCCGCCACCCTGCTCTTTGGAGGCGGTGGCAGCCTCTGGCCTTTGCTCAGGGCCGCTGTCAGTGAGGGGGCCCTGGCCACCGGCACTCAGGTCCTGCACCCTCTTGTTCAGATCGTTGCGCTCTGTCTGCAGCGCCCGGCACAGCTTCTCCAGCCGCTGGATTTTCACCTGCAGGCCCTCCAGCTCTTTGTCCCGGAGGGTTTTCTAGGGAGAGAGAGGGAGCCTTTCAATGTCGTGCATCGATCCTCCACCTGCCACTGCCACTTGGCAGAAAACATTCACACTCAGACAACACTGGGAACAGACTGGAGTCCAAAGCTGGCCCCTTTCAAGTAAATAGCCCTGGTTTGTGGCCAGACCCGGCTGTCAGCTGAAGGCAATGTAGTGTAAGGCAGGGGCATGGCTCAGAGACAATGTATTTCTCCATTTATCTACCAGAAGACCTTGGCAAAGTACTTGGTTTTGCAGCTTATCTCCTGATCTGTCACTCTTGTCTGCTAACGTCAACCTCACAGACCTCGAGGGAAGGTTCGGTGTCCTGGCATAGCACAGACATTCCACAGGTCTGGCTGCAGGAGCGGCTGAGTTCCTTTCCTCTCCTACATCTCCAGTCACAAATCAAATGATCAGGGACACTCCACATACAAACTACACACATTGTTGGCACCACCTGTTTATCTTGTTCCTTATTCTTTTCTTCCATTTCTTCCCTTTGCTTCCATTGCAGGCCTATGACTGGGCTTACCACCTCCCCTGGGCAGAGCTGGCAGTGCCTTGGACTTGGACAGACGCACCCAGCCTCACCTCATGCCAGCTGCATCACTTCCTACTAGAACTACAGAAAACGGCCCGATCCTCAGTCACTGCACACCCGCCCCCGGCTGCAGAGTGCACTCAGCCCACCTCCTCAGCCATCTCCAGCAGGGCCTTGTTGCTGCTCTCCCACCGGGACCGGTACATGGTGGTTTCTTTCTCCAGCTTCTTGATCTTCTTAGTCATCTGGGTTAAATGACAGGGAGCAAATGATCAGGGCACAAGCTGTCTGCATCTCTGTCCCCGAGGTAGGGCAACGGTCCCATGGAAGCAGGCAAGGCAACTCAGGGCACAGCCAGTGCTTTCCGTGCCACCTTAGGACCTCAAGTTAAATGCCCATGCCAATAACAGGAAACAGCAAGGCGGTCCCTTCTCCAGGACACACCACCGACACTTTCTCGGAGGGAGGAAAGGGTGTGATTCCTTCCGACAGTCCCTCCCTTGGCCTCAGTCACACTGTTACTGCAGACAGCTCCCAGTGAGGCACCGCATTCTGAATGAAGCAGCTTGTGCCCCTGCAGCCATACCGGCCTGGCCAGTGTTACCTTTTCCATCTCCTGTTTGAACGTGGTGAACACCTCACTGCTTTTGGAAAGAGTGTTCTGGAACTCCTCGAACTTCTCCGTGTATAGGGCAAGCTGGGCAAGAAAGAAGCCCACAGTTAAAACCAAACTTCCCCAGAGGGCATTTCTGGTCCACACACTCAGACCCATGCTTGGCCCTCTGACCCAACAATTCCCAGATCCCATTTTTCTTCATGTAAGCCTAGAAAGTAGGATTTGGGGTGACATTTAAAAAAAAATGTTTATCTTCAAATGTTTCTTCCAGAATTACGTGTAATTTATAGAATTATACCATCTGACCCATCCCCTCAAAAGCAGCACAAAAACTACTTCTGACTAGGAATGAAGTCTTCAAGCTCATCTAGCCACCTGGTCACCACCACACGTGCTGGGCAGGTCCAGAGAGAACAAACACTCTCTGATCACATGGCAGTCACGTGACGGCAGCCCTAGAATGAGGGTCCCATTTCCCTCCCCCGGGACGGGTCCCAAGGAGACCTTGGAGGCACTGTCTCACCTGCTGCTTCAGGTGGGTCTCCTGCTGCTTCATCAGCTCACACATCCTCTGGGACTCCACCGCCTCTTTGAGGAGCTATTTCCAAAATAGGACATCAGACCTCATCAGAAGCCCCGAGGGGCTGTGTGTGTTTTTTGCCAAACACACCAGAACCCATTGAAGTGTCCTGCTCTCTGACTGGTATCTGAGGAAACAGTGCCTTGCTCTGGCCAGGCACCAACCTTCCCATACAAACGTGACTATGAGCTAAGCCAGAACCCAACCCACCTCTTCCGAGACCCCCAACCCCAGAGCCCGAGCCTCACAAAATCCTTCTCCCGCTGGTGTCTCTCCTCGGCCTCCTTCAGCATCTCCTGGGCCTGCTGGAGCTTGGCGTCCACCAGCTGCTGCTGCAGGTCCTTGTGCTTGAAGACTTTGTCGATATGCTGCAGGGAAGGAGGGGGGAGGGTCCACCTGTTAGAGCTCCCTTTCCCTTTCTCAGAGCCGGCCTAGTAGCTAGACTTCAGGACTCCCTGCCCAGCCTCCATCTCACCCTGACATGCTGGATCCCACGTGTCCCCTAGGACATGGCCCCACGTCCCTGGAGAGTCTCCTTCCCAACCTCACTATTTCTCTCCTTCAGTCAGTCCTAGGTGAGCATAGGGGTTTATGGATGAAATCAGCTCCCAGGAGTAAATAAATAAATACTCGCATCTCCAGCCCCAAGAGAGATCAATCCATTGGCCGACAACCCTTACTTTTGTAGCCTGACTCCCTCGTAAGTGGGAAGAAAGGGCAAAAACGACACTTCTGCCAACACAACAGCTTAGCCCTATTGGCAGAGCTCTGCTCAACCTGTAAGTGAAGATCTGACATCCCAAGGAACAGTTGTCCTGACTGCGGGAGGAGCCCCGGGAACTGGACGGGTGAGAGAGCAGGACAGAAGGCGATGGACTCCAGTGCTACAGAGGTAAAAAAGGGATGTAGGGGATTGTATGTTTTCATTGAGGAAGGGGACATGGTGATCTGAAGTCCAGAGGCTCAGAGGGGACAGGATGGCAGTGCCTGATTCTGACTGGGGCTGGGACCCATACCTCTACCTCTGCAGGCAGTACCAAATCTTATTTTGCCTTGGTGTGAAACAGGTGGGGGTGAGATGTGGGAGAGGGGGAAGAGTCCTCAGATTTTTGAAGTAGGTGCCTCACTCTGGTGGCTCAGGAAACCTCCATGTCTCAGGACAAGAACAAAATCAGCCGAAACCGGTTTGGCTCAGTGGATAAAGCGTCAGCCTGCGGACTCAAGGGTCCCAGGTTCGATTCCGGTCAAGGGCAATTACCTAGGTTGTGGGCACATCCCGGGGGTGTGTGTGTGTGTGTGTAAGAGGCAGCTGATCAATGTTTCTCTCACACATCGACGTTTCTAACTATCTCTCTCCCTTCCTCTCTGTAAGAAATCATTAAAAAATATTTTTAAAAAAAGAACCAAATCAACTCTCAAACCACACACATCACAAGCAGCCTGGTTCCCAGAGGACAAAGTACAGGGAAAGATGGGGTGGGTCAGGGAAAGCCCCTCGGCCCTGCGTACAGTGACTGCCACTGGCCAGAGAGCCCAGGCGGGCAGGGCCGGGCCTATACAGCTATCAGCCAGCACCGCACCTCAGGGCCTCGGACGGGTCTGGTCTGGGACTGTGAGGTACCTGGCAGTGGAACGTGAACACCCAAAGAGAGAGACTCTAGTGACAGGGGCAGCAGAGCAGGAACCAGAGGACGTAGACTTTACAGGGAATCACTGACCCCAGGTCTAGCTCATCCCCTGGGATTTCAAATTCTAAAAATTTCTGAAAACAGAAATTGTCAGAAGTTGGCAGACAAACCTGACCTGTACCTTTGTATAGCTAATTATAATGTAGGTGAGTATACTCAGAAATTACAAAGCATAAATATGAACAGTCTGATCTGGGGGTGCTACCACAGCAAGGCCCTGCCGGGTGTGCTTTGTAACACACAGTACATGGACATATCGCCATTCTAATACTTGGACAGTTCTAATTCTATTCCAGAGGCCCGGTACACGAAATTCATGCACAGGGTGGTGGTGGTGGTGGTAGCTCCTTAGCCCAGCCTATACCCTCTCACAATCCAGGACTGCTGGCTCCCGACTGCTGCCTGCCTGCTTACCTGATTGCCCCTAACCGCTTCTATCTCCAGTCTGATCACCCCCTAACCACTCCCCTGCCAGCCTGATTGATGCCTAACTGCTCCCCTGCCAGCCTGTTTGCCCCTAACTGCCCTCCCCTGCAGGCCTGGTTCCCCCAACTGCGCTCCCTTGCAGGTCTGGTCCCTTCCAACTGCCTTCCCTTGCTGGCCATCTTATGGTGGCGAACTTGTGTCCACATGGGGTCAGGATCTTTGACCACATGGGGGCAGCCATCTTTTGTGTTGAAGTGATGGTCAATCTGCATATTACTTTTATTAGATAGGATAGAAGCCTGGTGCATGGGTGAGGGCCGGCTGGTTTGCCCTGAAGGGTGTCCCAGATCAGCATGGGGTTCCCTTGGGCATGGGGAAGCCTGAGCGAGGGGACTGTGGTGGTTTGCAGGCTGGCCACACCCTCTGGCAACCCAAGCAGAGACCCTGTTATCTTGGGTTTATTTATCTTCTACAATTGAAACTTTGTAGCCTGGAGCAGAGCTAAGCCTTCTGCTTGCTCTGTGGCAGTAGCCATTTCTGCTGGGACTTATGTATCATCTATAATTGAAACTTTGTAGCCTTAAGTGGAGGCCTGAGCCTGCCAGGGTGTGCAGAAAGCTTGGCTTCCTCAATCACCAGGGGCAACCCTAGCCTCCTGCTCTTTCCAACTCTCTGGCTGCTGCCATTTCTGTTTGGATTATCTATCTTCTATCATTGAAACTTTGTAGCCTTAAGTGGAGGCCTAGGTAAGCAAGGGTAGGAGAAAGCTTGACTTCCTCCATGCCAGGGAAACCCAAGCCTCCCTCCTGCTCTGTGGCTGTAGCCATCTTGGTTGGGGTTATTTGCATATTTATTCCTGATTGGCTGGTGGGTGTGACAGAATGCTGGTTAATTTGCATGTTATTTTTATTTTATTAGATAGGATTCCTGGCCCTACCATTTAGGAGATACTATGAACCTGTGGTCATGTGGCTGTCTGCCATTCTCTTTTCCTTACCTCAATTCCTTGTCTACATGAGGATTGCAACATCGTTCCCCACCCAAGGAAGGAAGAATTGGAAAATGGCCCTAGCCAGTTTTGCTCAGTGGATAGAGCTTTAGTCTGAGGATTGAAGGGTCCCTGGTCAGATTCTGATGAAGGGCACATGCTTAAGTTACCAGCTCAACCCCCAGTAGGGGGCGTGCAAGAGGCAGCCAATCAATGATTCTCTCACATCATTGAAGTTTATATCCCTCTCTCCTTCTTCCTTTCTTTCTGAAACAATCAATCAATGAATACTGAAAACTCTTTAAAAAATAAAATAAAATTGAAGAATGGAATGAAGCTTAAAAAGTGCTGTCCCAGTGCCTGTCACACACCCACAACCTTCCAATTCCCTGGCCAAGATCCTGTCCACAGCACCTCACCTCCTCTCGCAGCTCATACTGCTCAATCAGCTTCTTGAGCCTCTCAGCCAGCTCCATGTTCTCCTGGCGCAGCTTGGAATTGCGCTCATTATGCTGCTCCATCTGTAGCTGAATGTCATTCAGCGTCACCTGGAAGTGCGAGGTCACCTCCTTGCGTTTCTCCTCCTCTTCCCGGGCCCGCTGCACGCCTTCTTCCTGGGCAGAGAAGCCAGACCCAGCTCCATCATCGATTGCTCCTCAGCCAGCCTTACAAGGCTCCCGCCACCACCTCAACCAGTCCAGGATGGTCTCTATCAATAGTCCCCCCTGCTCTCAAAGTGATGGATAGCCAGGCTCTAAGATGTCAAGTACTGAGGACTCCTAATGGATCCTTCTGTATCTCAGGTGGCAATAAGTGAGAGCACCTCTAGCTAGAAAAATGCAGGCATACTGGTTCAGAGCCATTCTAAAGAACTTTGGATATCCTGAAGCCTATTCTTCCCGACTTATAAAGTAGTCTCTTTTTTTTGTGTGTGTGAATTTTTAGAGAGGAAGGGAAACAGGGAGGGATGTGGGAGGGAAAGGGAAACATCGTTCCACTTACTTATACATTCATTGGTTGCTTCTTATGTGTGTCCTGACCAGAGATGAAACCCACAACCTTGGGGTACTGGCACAGGCTCTAACTGAGTTACCTGGATAGGGCCTTAAGTAGTCTTATTTTAATGTGCTTTCATCTTTGACAGCCATCCCCCTCCCCCCACACCCACTTAACCATCAAGTAGTAAAGATTCAGTAATACCCAGGGTTGGCAAAGTTGTTCAGAATTAGGCACTCAGACACTGTTAGAGGGAAGGCAACATGAGCAAAATCTATTAAAATTTGCACCCGCAGTGACTCAGACATATCACTTCTGAGATCTATCCAATAGGTAAATTCTGTGTAATTAGGGACATATGTAACAAGAATTTTCACTAACTCCAAATACTAAAAGACTGGTGCACAAATTCGTGCATGGGTAGGGTCCTAGGTCTGGCCAGCGATCAGGACTGATCTGCAGGGTGACCAACCACCAACAGGGTGATCAAGATCCCTTCCTTCCCCCGCACCCACCTTGGCTGGCCTGTGGGCTGGGAGGAGTTCCTGAATTGAGCATCTGCCCCAGGTGGTCAGTGTGCATCATAGAAACTGGGCCTTCTGTCATTCAGTTGATTTGCATATTAGGCTTTTATTATATAAGATAACAGTAAAAAATTAGAAGCTACCCAAAAATACCTTAATGAGGACAGGAATAAAATGCTATATACCCATATAACAACACTGCTGAAAAGAATGAGACAGCTCTATGCATACTGACAGGGAGGAAAGATACAGCGTTGTGTAAAATGAGAATGGAATAGGATATGGAAAAATACGTGTATAATACTTTCATTTAAAAAACTCTATGTAAGATTTTCTATGTTGACAGGCAAGTTAAAAGGTTGTACTTAAACTTATGTATTAGTACGTTTACTTCCCAGTGGTTTCTGCTGGCCATCTGGGTTGAGGACAGTGGGTGACTATAACCTTTTACCTGTTATACTTTTATCATCTTCTATCAAACATATTAAATTTGTAACATTTTAAAAGACAAACTAAAAACGAGCAAAGCAAGCTGCAAAATACCATATATTCACTGATCCAAATTGTATGACCTGGAGGTCATAGCAGTGACCAAGCTTTAACCAGTGACCCCACCCTAGGCAGGACAGAACAAGGAGAAAGGTCGCACATTCCTGACTGACCAACACTGGGACAAGAGCTGCTGGTCGGCACTGGACCCAGCTTACCTGAGGACCGTGATGGAGTTAAGAACTCCTGAAGGCCTGCACTCTGGATTCTCTTTGCTTCTTAGCAAATGGTTCCAAGCAATTCCCACTAACCAGGGCATTACTGGGAAATCTGTTTCTCCACTGAAAACCCGTGCTAGTTTTTAAGGGAAAAGCTGCCAAAGATACGTGGAAGTTAAGATGACCAGTTGTCCCTCTCCGGGGTCCCAGCCAGCCTACCTTGAGGGAGCGGTTGTGGCGCTGCAACTCGCGGCACAGGCTCTCGAGCTTGCTGCGGGCCAAGATGGCCTTGCTGTGCTCACCACGCAGGTGATCCTTCTCCTGCACCAGCTGGCTCTGCTTCTTCTGCAGGAGCTTCATCTGCTTCTGGGAGTTCCGGTGCTCCTCCAGCTGGAGACAGGAGGGCAGGTAAGCACCCTGGGAGGCTCTTCCCATGGGGGTCCAGGATCTCCTGAGCTGACCTAATCCTGGCCCTCTCCCCCGACTCCAGCCATAATAGTCCAGGATGGACACTGTGGGTGCTCCATTTGCTACTCACAATAACCCCTAAGGCCCCCGTACCGCAAGGATACAGAAATGGACACTCAGACAGGACAGAGGTACACAGCCAGCAGATCCACCTCTCTCCCAGCTCTCAGACCATTACATTACCCCAACTCTGGGGACACTCATGCCCTCAGATGAGATCACCTGCTGCTCCTCTTTGTCTTACACTTATAACACATCCAGATTCAGAGTAGTCACATTTCAATCGGTCAATATGTCATCTTTCAGAACTGTACCCACCTCCAAGATCTCATCCCAAGCTACCACGTATTTTCCAAGCTCATCCTCTCCCATCCTTATCTGAGGTCTCAGGTCTACTACCCTACTGAACCTTCAAGCCTTTGAACCAACCACCCTTTCACTTTAAATAACCTCTTTCTCACTCGGCTGAAATTTCCTATGTCCTCAACTCTTCCCAGAAAAATTCTACTTTATTGACAGGATCTATGGAGGTATAGGACCACGTTAAATGCCACCACAAAGCTAGAACAGGACAACTGGTCTGCAGTAAGTCAATGTTATGGGAAAAAGAGCAGGGCAGTTAAGATAAAAACTGCTTTAAGGGGGGAAAAAGCCGTAAAACACAACGTAATAAATGGACTGCCTTTGGATCCTGATTTAATCAAACTGACATTTTTAAACAGTTGGGGAATCTGACTGTGGACTGGGTATTAGGAGAATATCAAATGATTAGTGTTGTTGTACTAGAATGTGTAATTTCTCAGACTGGAAGAGGGTGGCTGGGACTACACCCCCCAGTCAGATGAGGAAAAGGCTCAGAGAAGTTGAACAGAAATTAAGCCACCCACCTGCCCTTGTACCCTCAACCCCATGCTGGGTAGCCTGCTGATGTTCCGAGGCAGAGAGGGTCAAGGAGAAGGGGGAGAACTGACCAGTTCAGCATACTTCTTGCACAGAGCTGCCAGCTTCTCCTCGGGGGTACTCAGTGTGTTCAATGTCTGCATCAGTAATGTAATCTCCTTTCCTGCAAAGGACAGGGAACAAAGACATGGACCACTTTCTCTGGGAGTCCCCTCCAGGCATGGGCCCACCTATCTTACTTTACATTTCTATTTGTTGAACTGGCTGCCTTATCTGCTACAATGTGTGCTTCATGAGGTCTGCAACCAACTCAATTCTGCCTACCAATGTAGCCCAGTGCTATCCCTAGAGCCCCTTGCTGAGGACATGCTCAACAAGTACTTATTAAATGAATGACTGGCCCTAACCAGTTTGGCTCAGTGGAGAGTGTCGGCCAATGGACTGAAGGGTCTCAGATTCATTTCCAGTCAAGGGTACGTATCTTGGCTGCAGGCTCCTCCCTGGACCCGGCCCTTGTAAGGGCTCGTGCAGGAGGCAAGAGGCAACCAATTGATGTGTTTCTTTCACATCGATGTTTCTCTCTGTCCTTCCCTCTCTCTTCCACTCTCCCTAAAAATCAATAGAAAAATATCTTCGGGTGAGGATTAGCAACCACAACAAAAATGAATGACTGAATCTCTGTGGAATCTCCTTGGTGAGCAGTAGGAATGGGAGAAAAAAACAACTACTTGCTTTACCAACAGGTTTAAGAAAGGTGTTTCTGCCCGACCAGCATGGCTCTGTGGTTGAGTTTCAGCCTATGAAGCAGAATGTCATAGTTTGATTCACATACTCGGGCTGTGAGCTGATCCCCAGTAAAGCGTATGCAGGGGGCAGCCGATCCATAATTCTCTCTCATCATTGATGTTTCTATCTCTGTCCCTCTCCCTTCCTCTCTGAAATCAATAAAGATATTAAATATGTGTGTGTGTGATGTAAATTCAGTACTCCTGTCTCAGTGCAAGGAACTCCCTTCTGAAACAGAAAGAATGCAAAAAGGAACACATTTCTTTGAGAATTATGAAACTCTTATCAACAGAAATAGCCAAACAAGAAACTTTAAAATGAATGTACCTTCCAATAATTGATCCTAAGATTAAAAACAAACCAAAAAACTTTCCTTAAATTAGGATGACAGTTAGGGGTGAGTGGGTGGGTGAACGGGGAATAAATTATGGGTATAATAACATCCAACTTTGAGTCTTTAACACACACTATCTCTCTACTTCCACCTTCACCCAAATTACTCTCCGCCACTGCCGGTGCCTGAGTCAGATCCTTGCAGCCTCCCTGGAGGCCACGGTACACAGTACAGCACTAGACTCTGCAATGGCAGCCTTGGGAGGCTCCAAGAAAGACTGCAAACCACAGGCACAGCAGGCCAAAGCCAACCCACAGACGGGTTGTGTTTGGCTCCCAGCATACCAACTACCAACTGTTAAACATCTAGAGATTGCATGTAACTCTGGTTGGGTTTTGTTGTTTGTTGTTTTAAAGGAAGGCAGTCTAGACTTAGCCTGTAGTTTTACATGCTATCAACATGCTGAGACCCAGGTGGCAGTCAACCCTTGGAGGAAGTGGGCACTTTCTTGGCTAGCTTGGCTTATTTGAGTTTTCAACCCGGGTCTAGTCCAATTCTCTTACTGTAGAGAAGTGACAACTAAGGACCAAAAAGAAAAGCCTTGCTCAAGGTCTCACAGGTTAGAAATGGTGCTGGCTGGCATGGGAGTCCCCCCAGGTCTCTGCTCCCCATTTTCTCAGAGAGCAGGTTGGGTTTCGTTTTTCACTTGCTCCCAAGGCCAGAAGTCCCTGTGCAGTAAACAATGTGCACTCCTCTGTGCTCTGGCCCCAAAGCCCTGGCTATGATTAACCTGGTGTGGTACACGGCACAGGAAAGGAGGGTTACTCTGAGTCCTAGCAGCGCAGGCTACCCCAGGAATGTCAGGTCCAAACTCTCCCCCTTCACCAGCCTCACAAGTGGTTGCCCTCTGCTCACCCAGACCCTTGGCTTTCTTCTTCTCCTGTGGCCTTCGGTGGTCTCGGTCTCCCACCTCATCACTTGCCCGGATCTCGTCTGTGCCTGGCTCCCCCTTGGAGGTCTTCTCACCGTTGACTACTGGGATCCCTGGCTCAGGCTCCCCGTTCCTGGAGGCATAGGTCCGGGACTTCTCCGCATCTTCAGGTTCGGCAGGCTCACCATGTGCACCATCCTCGGCGGGGCCCCCCTGACTGTTGTCCACACAGTATGTGCTCAGGATGTCTTCCAACTGGCGGCTCAGCTCCTCAGAGACATCACGGAGGGCTCCAGACTGAGAGGTTTTGGCTTGTGCTCCTACAGGAGGAAGAAGGGCAGAATGTGGAATAAGATGGTTATACCACTGGTCAGGATTTTTTCAGGCCCAAATTTACTGGTTTGGATTAAATGTTGCCTCATTTCTTTAAGCCTCAGCTTATTTACCTATAAAATGACATGAGTATTTCTCTTTTGTCAGTTTGAAAGAAATTGGGTAAAGCATCCAGCACATAGCGATGGCATGTAGCAGGAGCTCAATGTCTAATTCACCCCTTTCTCCTCCTCGCGAAAATCACTTCTTGATAGTGAAAGAGTTCCAGAAATGCCTCCAATAGAAAGAGCAGCCGAGACTGGTCTGGCTCAGTGGATAGACTGCGGACTGAACGGTCCCGGGTTCGATTCCGGTCAAGGGCATGTACCTTGGTTGCGGGCACATCCCCAGTAGGGGGTGTGCAAGAGGCAGCTGATCATTGATTCTCTCTCATCAATGTTTCTAACTCTCTATCCCTCTCTCTTCCTCTCTGTAAAAAATCAATAAAATATATTTAAAAAAAAAAGAAAAAGAAAAAAGAAAGAGCAGTTACCCACGGGTACATGAGGCATTTCTAACCTGGACTTGCAAGTTCAGTGTCTCATTTTACTGCTCCCTATTTAATCCCGGCAGAGCCTTCTCTCAAGGGTTCTTTCTGTTCCTGTGCTGAAGACCAAGGCTCTACCAACTCCTCAGGACACGGTGGGGACCGCACAGACTCAGCACTGTCCTCTCTCCTCCTAATTTCCTTCTTTCTGGGTAAACAGGGTCCTCTACCTCCAAAAGCTAGGCTGGCGCACCACAGGCTCCTCCCCCTGCCCCCTGGAAAAGCGGAGCTGGCACACACCCTCCGTCTTCCTGGGAGTCTGGCTGGCGGAACCTTCAGCTTGTGCTGCGGCCTGGACTCCCTCTGGTCCCGCTCCCCCTTGCCCCGGGTTGCTTTTAGGGTTGGAAGTGTTGCCTGATGGCTTGGCGGCCCCATTCTTTTTGTCTTGGTTCTTCATCGTGGGTTGCAATAGTAGGCGAGGAGCAGATCCTATAGAAACAAGCACATTGGCTATTTTTCCAAGACTTGGAAATTCTTCTTAGCCTGGATGAGAAATCCCAATGCCGGATGCACAAAGCTTCTAAAACAAACTGGCCGACCTTCCCCGGAGATAACCCACGGTTCCCTCCGTCTCCAAAGGGTCAGGGGCACCCGGTGTGCACGGGCGGGTTCCCGGGGCGCCGCTCCAGGAGCAGGGGAAGAAAGGCCTCCTGTCGCCCTGAAGCCTCTTCCCGCTACACCGCGGCCCCTCGGGCTCCGCCGAGCGCCGGATCGGATCCCGGCGCTGACTGACGTGGCGGGACGCTAGATCCCCGGCCTCTCCCCCGCCTCCCGGGCCCCACATGGGCCTCCCGCCACCCCCCGCGCGCCGCCACCCACGCCCCGCGAGCGGCCCGCTCTCCGGCCGCCGCGCACGCGCAGAGGGGGGCCTCGGCCCTGCCCTCCGGCCCGCGGCCTCGCGCGGAACCTGCGTGATCCTTCCCACTGACCGACGGCGCTCAGGTCTGCGGACCGTCCGACCGCCTCCTCCCTCCGGCGGCCTCGGCGCGGACCCCTCGGCCGACGTCCTCACGGCTTCGCCCGCAGCGGCCTCGCACCGGAAACCCGGGTAACCGCTGCCGGCTGGCCGCCGGCGCTCCGCAGCCAATCACTAGCCGGCTCGCGCGCGGGGCTTGCTGGGAAAGATGAAGCGCGGCGGCCTCAGAGGCGGGCGAACTGAGAAGGCGGGGGAGGGAAAAGACTACACGTCCCTCCATGCACCCGGGGTAACCCTCAACTCCCAGCATGCAATGGCAAGGGCTTTAGTTCTAGGAACCAGAGACTCAGGAGGTCCGAAAGGAGCCAGTCATTCTGCACAAAGAGCCCCCCCCACCCCCTCGCCAAGCTAGATTCTCTTGCTCAGAAGCTATGATTCAGCCCCAAAAGCCTTTCACCTTTCTTGCACGCTTCCAACAACACTTCCCCCATGCTATGAACACGTATGATCGTCTGGGAACTGAGGACGAAGAAATTCCTGGGCTGGGAGCCAGGAGACTTGTATTATTGCAGTCCCAACTTCGTCATGCATTTGCTACATGACTGGCATTCTTTTCTCTCCTCAGGACTCAATTTCCGTATTCAGGTGGAAGCTTTCAGTAACAACATTAGTTCTCTGAGTGCTTACGATGTGCTTTAAAATATATGTATATGTTTGTATATATACATACAAATATATACATTCATCTATCAATATATACACATTCACACACACACACACACACACACACACACACACACACACACACACATACACACTAGAGGCCCAGTGCACGAAATTTCTGCACAAGGTGGGGAGTGTTTCTCAGCCCAACCCCAATCTGGGACCCCTTAAGGGATGTCCAACTGCCATTTGGGATTGGGCCTAATGGGCAGTCAGACATTCCTCTCACAATCCAGGACTGCTGGCTCCCAACTGCTCACCTGCCTGGCTTCCTGATTGCCCCTGCTTCTGCCTGCCAGCCTGATCACCTCCTAACCACTCCCCTGCCAGCCTGTTTGCCTCTAACTGCCTTCCCCTGCAGGCCTGGGTCCCTCCCAACTACCCTTCCCTGCAGGTTTGGTCACTCCCAACTAACTTCCTCTGTTGGCTTGGTCACCCCTAACTGCCCTCCCGTGCAGGCTTGATTGCCCCCAACTGCCTTCCCTTGCAGGTCTGGTCCCTCTCAACTGCCTTCCCATGCTGGCCATCTTGTGGTGGTCATCTTGTGTCCACATGAGGGTAGGATCTTTGACCACATGGGGCAGCCATCTTGTGTTGGAGTGATGGTCAATCTGCATATTACTCTTTTATTAGATAGGATAGAGGCCTGGTGCATGGGTGGGGACCAACTGGCTTGCCCTGAAAGATGTCCTGGATCAGGGTGGGGGTTCCCTTGGGGCATGGGGCGGCCTGGGCAAGAGAACTGTGGTGGTTTGCAGGACAGCCATGCCCCCTGGCACCCAAGTGGAGGCCCTGGTATCTGGGGTTTATTTATTTTCTACAATTGAAACTTTGTAGCCTGGAGCCATTTCTGTTGGAATTTATGTATCATCTATAATTGAAACTTTGTAGCCTTAAGCGGAGGCCTAGGCCAGCCAGGGTGTGTGGAAAACTTGGCTTCTTCCATTACCAGGGGCAACCCTAGTCTTCTGCTCTTTCCAGCTCTGTGGCTGCTGCCATTTCTGTTTGGATTATCTATCTTCTATCATTGAAACTTTGTAGCCTTGAGTGGAGGCCTAGGCCAACAAGGGCCGGCAGAAAGCTTGGCTTCCTCCATTGCCAGGGAAACCCAAGCCTCCCTCCTGCTCTCTGTAGCTATACTCATCTTGGTTAGGTTTATTTGCATATTTGCTCCGGATTGGCTGGTGGGTGTGGCTTGTGGGTATAGCAGTGATTAATTTGCATATTACTCTTTTAATGGATAGGATATATATATATGTAGTTGATTTCAAAGAGGAATGGAGAGGGAGAGAAATAGAAATACCAATGATGAGAGAGGATTATTGTATCATTGATTGGCTGCCTCCTGCACATCCCCTACTGAGGATCAAGCCTGCAACCCAGGCATGTGCCCTTGACCAGAATCAAATCTGGACCCTCAGTCCATAGGCCAATGCTCTATAGATGTTTCTGTATTATCACTCACCCTTCCTCTCCCTCTAAAAATCAACTTTAAAAAACTATAAAATAACTTGTGAAAGTAGGTTATATTTTTTTTTCTCTGCCTATTACCAGCATGAGTCACTCTGTGGAAGGAGTTGAGGAGACCCTGCAAGAAGTTTATTTTTAAAATATATATTTTGATTTTTTTTTCACAGAGAGGGAGGGAGGATAGAGTTAAAAACATCCATGAGAGAAACATCGATCAGCTGCCTCCTGCACAGCCCCAGTAGGGATGTGCCTACAACCAAGGCACATGCCCCCGACCAGAATAGAACCTGGGACCCTTCAGTCTACAGGCCGACACTCTATCCACTGAACCAAACTGGTCTCTCTCATCATTGATGTTTCTCTCTCTCTACATCTCTGAAATCAATACAAAAAAAAAAAAAAGAGTAATAACTAAATCTGAGATATATTAGTTACTTTCTCTTTTGCTACCAAAGAAAATAGCAACAATATCAGAACCTGCCATTGAGTCAGGGAGACCAGTTGGAATGGTGGTGATTGTGGCCAGAGATCATGACTATTGTTTTCAAACAGAAACTCAGGCCAGATATTTTTCAAGAGTTATCTATTTCTAAATGTTGGCAACATATTTAAACTTAAACACACTATCAGTTAACCAAAATCCTCTTTTTGGGTTAATCAAATTTTTGGCTACTTGTCTATAATCTTTACTTTAGGAACTGATCTAAACCAAAACAAGTAATGAGTGAACTGAATGATGTTAATGGGCTCACTAAGTTATAGTGACAGAATCAGAGGTTGCTGGGGATTGGATAAGGATTCCTAAGGGGCATACAGAAACTTCTAGAGATGATGGATATGTTCACCATCTTAATCGATATGATGCCTTCATGGTTACATATATGTCAAAACCTATCAAATTGTACATTTTAAATATGTGCCATTGATTGCAGGTCAATTATATTTCAATAAAGCTGATTTTTAAAAAGATCTTTATAGCAGGAGTAAGCTGTTATCAATTCATTTTTTAAATATATTTCTTTATTGATTTCAGAGAGGAAGGGAGAGGGATAGATAAAAACATCAATGATTAGAATTATTGTCTGCCTCCTGCACGCCCCCTATTGGGGATCGAGCCCACCCCTCGGCATGTGTCTTTGGCTAGAATGGAACCTGAGATCCTTCAGTCCGCAGGCCAATGCTCTATCCACTGAGCCAAACCAGCTAGGGCTATTACCAATTCCTAATACCACTGTTAAGTCACAGGTTCAAACACATCAAAAGAATCCAGTCTAGAAGAACCCCAAAGACGACAATTTGGAACTTTGCAACAGGTTTTTATTTTTGCTTTATTTCTATTACAGTGTTTGAAACCTAAAGAAATACATTTTCTCTTCAAATTTGGATGTGTATATAAATATCATTTGTCTGGACTCAGCACACTCAATGCTATGGTTTCTTGGCCTATGTCTGCTCTGAAATCAAGCTTTGTTGTCTACCCAGGGGCCCTGAGAACATAGAAAATAGCCAGAGTTTACAGTTATTGGAAAATGAAAGTAACTGAATTTGGAAAGGAAACCCAATGAGAAAAAGGGTTCAATTAACCTTTGCAGGGTCTGTACTGGGAACCCAAGCTGCTTTTGAGGGACATCTGGTTTGTCTTGGGTGGTTGGGACCTCACACCACCTTTGCTACTGTAGTGGCTCATTCAAAGGCGGTTCCTACAAAAGTTGGCTAAAAGAGGGCTTGAGGGTTCTATAGAGGTGGACTCTCCAAGGCCATCCTCTGGGCCAGAGGTTCCCAGTCAGTCTCAGGATCTGAGATTTGACTTCCTTCACTCCCCCCAGGGAATGGCAGGATGTTCGGTCTGAAAGTCTGACCTACACAGGGGAGCAGGGCTCTAGCATTTAGAAGGTTCAATATGTTCTAACGTGGATATCAACATGGCTGGCCCAGAAATAGCGAGGTAGGCCCAAACTATACACTACATAAACCTTTATAACACTACACAAACCTTTCTCCTGTGGTGTTGAGCCCAAAATATAATGCTGCAAATAGGCCTGAGGCAAAATGCCCCCAAAGGAAATATAACAGCCTTAATTCAGACTTGGTTGGTGCTGACCTCAAATTCTTCCCTTGCTATGGTCTTAATCTGGGGCTGGAGGACAGACGAAAGGATTACTGAATCATTTATGGAGGCTGAGGCCAAAGAGCAGCTCGTGCCTATGACACGAATCCCCACAGGGCCAACATCTCAGCTTGCTGGTTTAACAAAAGAATCCAAAAGTTAAGACAGAAAAGAAATACCGAACAAGATTGGTCTAGAATCCTAAAACCGCTATGGAAGAAACAGACTCTGAGCAATTTCTCAGTCTCACACTCACTTGTAGGAAGATGTTGCGACTGGTTATGAGCATGCTCCTGTGGTTCAGTACATGGAGCCTTGCATCCTTCCCCAGCCCGCCACGGAGGCAGGCAGTCACACACACTCCCGCGGTCCCCAGCAGCCTGTTTACCCTACAGGTCCCTGTAGGGCCCATAGGGACCTGGGGAATCTGGCCTCCTGCCTTCAATTGAGAATCCAGAATCTGAGCCCACAAGACAGATATACAGAGGAATTCCCAAGAAGATGGGACACCAAGCTGAGCGAGTCTCAGGAGAGGAGATGGAGCCGCAACATCTGAGCTGAGGCATTCAAATGGGGGTACATGGAATGAGAAGGGAAGCACTGCCAGGCATTCATCTTCCCTCCTAGTATGCTAGAAGCAGGGGTAACTCTATGATGTAGGGGAAGGCAGGCAGACACGAAAATGGAAACCCATTTCATTCTGTAGACCGTTTTTCCTTTGAAGCTGGTTTGGCTTGAGAGAAAAAGTCTGTGCCTGAGAGCCTTCTTTTGCTCTTCCTTGACTAATTATAGTAGCAGCTCTAATCTGTGCAGTTCAGCTCCAAAAAAATTGGGCTTCTGGAAAGTAGCTTCCAGAGCAAGGAGAATAAGTAGGAGGAGGTAGACCTAAGGGTCCTAGGTAATGGGGAACACCAAGGGCTCCTGAAAGCTGAAGTCATTAACGCCTGCTCCTTGGAAGGGCCATTGGTACTCAATGACCCAAATAACGAGGCTGGCCAGCTGAGGTGGAACCCATGTGGTTCTATCAGAAGGTGCAGCCAACACCAAGGCCAGGTAGTCGCTGGGGATACCTTAGAAATGTGGGGAGGCTTCTAGGGCAAGAGGCCCTGCTAGTACTGGAAGATGAAGAGGGACTGGCAATAAAGAATAGCTGGCACTGTTCAAAACAGTATATGAATACTTTAGCTAAGAAAAAGGCTCCCTATTCCCTTAATCCACACCTAGATACCTCCACCCCCACCAGACATCTTAAAGTGGACACACCAGGCATGTGTCAACATATGAAGATTCCAAAACATGTCTTACCAGGCTACTCCCTATAGCAGCCTGGCAATCTCTCCATCCCTGCAACATCCATTTAGAAATCTACCCGAGGCCTTTGACCTCACCTAGGCCAGGGTCTGGAGTCCAGATGGGACCTGTCCATGAAGAGTGGCTGTCCAGCCCGGGTGAAAGAAATATTATTTTGCTTCCCAAGATGGCCAGAGGAGAGGAGAAACACAAAAGAAACACTGCCTCTGCGGCTGGAAGAACTTCACCTTTGACGGCGGGGTCAGAGGAAGATCATGGAAAACACGGTCTGAGGAAGACACGAACCAAGGAAAGCTCCTAGAGGCCACTTTCATCCGGTGAGAAGTCTGTCCTCATGCTGTGCCCTGGAGACGCCAGCCTTGGAAGAAAACTGGCTTTCAGCAGCAGCCAGAGGACTGATCTTCCATCTGGTACAGGGCCCAGATCTGAAGGGAAAGTAGATTTTGGAGGCATAGTTGGGAAAAGCAAGATGTGTATGTCTCACAGTAAGAATTTGGTCCCAGTGTCAGGGACTTAACTATTGCTTAAGATGTACAAAGAAGATCCTACTAAAGTGCTTTCTTTCCCCTTTGGACAAGGATGGGGCTAGGGGTGAGAGTGGAGTTTTTCTTTGAACTATAGTTTGCAATGGAGTCAGCAGGCCAGGTGGAAAAGGTCCTGCCTCTTGCTACGTGGGAGACTGGGGTTGAATCATCATTCCTAAGCTGAAGAGCAGCATCTGACACACTTTTTAGTGATAAACGATGGCCTCAAACCACCTTTCTCAGAAAATGGCTGTGGAGTTGGATCTCAAACAAGAATGAGGGCCAAATCAAGGCTGAAAGTGAGCACCTGAACCTTAGACCTATAAGCAGAGGGGCATGGATTTCACCTGAGCCAGAGATATGTAGGAATGAAGCAAGAATGGCACTGTTTCTGGGGAAGGGAAAATGCAGCTTAGAGCTGGGCACCTCTGACTGACTGACTGGCAGGAAAGCAGGGGCAGTGCATACGGTGCCTTCTCAAAGTTGCTCTATACTTACTTACCCGACAACTTACTCCACCCCATCCCCAACAACTGGGCTTTGCTCTCATATATAATCCACCAAAGCATAGGCAAGCCATTGTGGCACTGCACTAGCTTTATTCAAAGAGAAAAGAAGAAAAAGAGGACACAATGTATTCGCTCGCGGAGATGGTACTAGTGAGTAGACAGATGTTTAGTTGCTCCTTGTGACATTGTTCTGATTGCAGCAGCAACAGGTCTCGGGAATGTGTCAAAAATGAAGCAAGTAACAAGGGGTGAAAGCAAATCCATTGCTACTACTTGCTTGCTCTCTCCATTTCCGTTGCTCTATACTATAGATGAGAGCCAACAAAGAAATATATCCACGAAGACTGCGGGAAGAAGAGTGCAAAGGGAGAAATCGTCAAGTGGGGGCCTGAGGATGGAGAAGTGGAGGTCGCGATGACAAAGGCTATTGTGAAGACTGCATTCGCATTACTCTATTGTACAGATTGAAGACCACAGCAACATCCAAACTCTCAGATCAACAAAAGATTCAATGCGCTCCTTGCAACACAGTTCCCAGGAGTTCAGCCGCCAACAATTGACCTAGACCCTGCACTAGATCTCCGGGAAGCTGCCATCTGGGTGAGTGCAGAGGTCTCTCGATGTCAAGATACTCAGCGTTCTATTACCCATCGAGGACAAAGATCTTCCGGGTCCCACTGCCCAAGCGTTCGTGGCTCAACTCAAGCTATTTGCATCCTTCGCTGAAATGACACCATATGTCACAATGAAGGCTTTGATCAACGAGGGGTTGTCGGAGATTATATTGCTTAAACCAATATCTGGAGATGCAGCCAAATTCCTGGCTGCAGAAAAGGAGCTTCAAGATTGATAAGTTTCCGTATCTTAAAAGTACCCAAATTTCCAGGACATAACAAGGTATCACCAGCTAGTTATCCTGACGTATTCAAGGCAGCTGCTGTGAGAAAAAGAAAGCCGGATGGCACATTGAAAGACTACCATTCCACCAAGGAGCCTAACACACCGACAGACCAAGAAGTTGAGGATGTTTTAGCTGAGCCACCATTTAAGAAGAGTGATCTACAACAGCTCCATTACCCAAGTCTACAAGTGATATACGGAGTCACTCCTGATGAAGTCAATAGGGTCCTTCACTCGTGGAAGAAAGTCGTAGCAAATCCCGTAGACCAGTTTGCTTTATTAGTAGAAGGACTGAACAAGTTATCAGCAGGGAGAGACACACTTGTGAGCAGAAGCAATCAGGAGCAACCTAGAAACCAATCTACCTCAACCTCATGATTCGTTTGGCCTTACCTCAATTAAGTGTTTGATTAAAGGAAAAAAGAAAAAGAAAAGAAAAAAGGACACTAGGGTTATAATTGTCACAAGGAAGGACAAAACTCAAATCAGGTACAAGGATCCCAAACAGGGAAGGTATCAATAACTCTCACAAAAGGCTGCTAAGTTAGTGATAACTGGAGAGTCAGCCATGAGTGACAACTTATGTGAACAAGGATCTTTTGAGACCAAATCTAAGAAGGCGGATGCTTTCTGGGTTTTCTGATGTAAGCAGGATGCTCCTGGTAAAGATTAGAGTGTTATACTTCACCACACTGTGGGCTCATCCTTGCTTCCTTCAGGTACTGGGACAATCAGACCAAGCTGACATGCTACATAAAGGTTCCAGAGCTAAGGGTTGGTCCCTGGTGGTGGCCCAGAATCCAAGCAGAGAAGAAAAGGACCAAGCTCAGGCCTTCTGAGTGAGGAAGCTTCCACATTTCTTTTTGGTCTTCCTCACAGTAACCTACTAACAGAAATTAACAGTTCTTCCTCTCAAGACCAATTAAGATTGACCTACCTAATATATAGAATATAAAAAAATACAGAACTTTTTGACATTCTCTCCTTTGGAAATAAAATATACATGATCCAACTATGGAAGAAGAAGGAAGGCCAAAGGTAGGGATTCCTGGCTATCCCAATACATGACACTCTCACTCCAACCTCCTCTGCAACTTATGGGTCACCAGAACAAGGACTTTCTCCTCAGGAGAAAGGAAGGATCACAGTCCCCTGTCTCACACTTAAGAGAAAATACAGCTACCTCAGAGGTTCATTCAACTCCGAGGGGAATTTTCAAGTAAACAAATGAAGTTGGGTCGCACCATTGGAAGGTGGGTAGGAAACATGGGATCAGTAGCGACACATGGGAAGCCCCGTCTGAAAGGCCTGTGCTCCTCCCCTCCAGTCCCACGGGGGTAGCTACCCAGGACAGTGAGGGGGATCTCCCAAACTAAAGAGGTCTGGGCAGAGATTAGAGAGAGGGGGGAAGGGCCTTGTCTAACGGTGACCGCCCCCTCAGCCTCTAGTCCCAGACAATGCTGGCAGCTGGGATTCCTAAAACCAGGAACTCATGGTTCTTGGAAAGAGCAACCTTAATACAAGAAAAATGTGCAAAAGAAAAAAATTAAATAACTCAATCCAAGCATACAAGATTAATATTCTGTCAGAGCAAGAATACTTTTTTTGGGATTTCTCTCCTCCCCTCCAACCCCCGACTTCTGGAATTTTCCATCTGCTCAAGTACCCAAGATAAGAGTTACACAAATCAGGGCAGAGAACTGGGAAGAATGAAGGAAGATAAAAGGGAAGGAAGTCACTACTAAAGAAAAAAATAAACATAAAAAAGGTGCAAAATTGAATACCTCAGTCCTCCTTTGTCTACCCTGGGCTTCTGGGTTAAAGACATATGTGCAGCCAAAATAGTGTAAGGAAGAAAAACCCAACACGTCCCCTTCTTGTCACAAAACCCAAATATGAGCCTCAGATGGTTCTGTCTGTCCAGAGGGTCCTCCCTCAAAGGGAAGGGGTGGAGCAGGTCAAGAGCACAGTTTCCAGGGCAGCAGAGGTGTGTGGTGGCTGGTGGTGGGGGCTGGTTTCCCGTCCACCAGAGGGCTGCTTTTCCGCTGGTTGGTGGTGCTTCCCATCCCGTCCCCTCCCCAGAGGCAGACATTATAGCTGGAAGCCCTCCATGGGGGCCTCAGGCTGCTGGAAGATGAACTGCTGTTGCGTTTCATCCACTTGGGGAGCCAGGCTGCTGTCATCATCTTCGACTCCGAAGTAGTGCTCAATGAGGTCGAAGGCCTTCTGGTAGATGTCCTGGTTCTCGTGGCTCTGGAGAAATTCAATCTTATCCAAGCCTAGGGTGGTAACACGGAAGGAGGGAGAGTCAACTTTCATAAGTGCTTTTCTATTTTTTCTTTCCCTGAGGTTTGTTGCTGTTAATAAATACAAATAATATGATTGAATCTTTATTTTTTTGACCTGGAAGAGGAAAGCCAACATTTCCCTCCCAACTGCATAATCCCAAAGGAAAAATACCATATGTCAGTTATAGATCAGAGATTCCAGTCCTGATTCTGCTTTTATTTTTTTAAATTATTTTTAAAAATATATTTTTATTGATTTCAGAGAGGAAGGAAGAGAGAGATATAGAAGCATCAATAATGAGAGAGAATCATGATTAGCTGCCTCTTGCACGCCCCCTACTGGAGATCAAGCCCACAACCTACGCATGTGCCCTTGACCAGAATAGAACCTGGGCCTTTTTGGTCCACAGGCCGATGCTCTTCTACTGAGCCAAACCAGCTAGAGCCTGATTCTGCTTTTAATTACTTATCTGAATCTCTGATATGAGACCATTTTGTACTCTTGCTTGAACTTGCTATAAGCTCAGCTAAAAATATGCCTTCCATTGCCAGTTTTATTATCAATTCTGGGCTTTCTTCTAGCATCTGTATCATACTTACTTGCTAGGTAGAACCCATTTGAAAGAGAACTGATCTACTGCCCCTGAGAGGAAGAAGAAACTGATTGGATAGGACCTTGCATTCAATGATGACTCTAAAATAAACACCCTCTGCGGCCAGGTTTGGAGCAGCGGCTGCCAGGCTGGGAGCGGCCAGGCCCGGAGCAGCCGGGTCGGGTGCGGCCAGGCCCGGAGCAGCGGCAGCCAGGCTGGGAGCGGCCAGGCCCGGGGGAGCAGCCGGGTCAGGTGCGGCCAGGCCCGGAGCAGCGGCTGCCAGGCTGGGAGCGGCCAGGCCCGGGGGAGCAGCCGGGTCGGGTGCGGCCAGGCCCGGAGCAGCGGCAGCCAGGCTGGGAGCGGCCAGGCCCGGGGGAGCAGCCGGGTCAGGTGCGGCCAGGCCCGGAGCAGCGGCTGCCAGGCTGGGAGCGGCCAGGTCCAGGGGACCTGGGGGGACTTGGGAGCAGCAGCAGCCAAGTCCAGAGCAACTAGGTCGGGAGCGGCAGTGACCAGACCCGGAGCAGCTGGTTGTGGAATGAACCAGAGCAACAGAGGCCAGGCCCTGAGCAGCCAGGCCCGGAACAGCACGCTCCTCGCCTGCCCCTGCCCCATGGCTGCCTCTCAGACATGGCTGGAAACTTCTGCGGGAACTTGAGGGTCTGCTGAATCAAGTGATGAAGGCTTAGATCTGGATGTGTTGAGTTAGTTTAGGATTGGGGTGTTGATCTGTGAGTGCCTTGGGTGGGGCCTGGATGAGGCTGGTTGACCTAGTGGGAAATGTCTTTTGTGTGAAGTGTATCATTGGGCATGTGGAGGTATTATTGATATGAGAAAATGCTAAGTAACTGATTTACTATCTGAAAAGGGATTAACTATTGGGGAAAGGGAGGGAAGAAGAGACTGAACATAAACTGTGCACCTATGGATGAGGACAATGGGAAATGGGGAGGGGGCGGAGGGTGGGTGGGAACCTGGTGGAGGGGGGAAGAAATGAGGAACCTTTGTAATAATATGAACAATAAAGATTGATTTAAAAAAAAAATAATAAAATAAACACCCTCACATATATGTACTATGGAGGCCTACAATCCTGAGACTCTTACCTATGACCTCTCTACTTAAGTCAGAGATAACATTGAGAAAGGACACATACCATAGGCTTCTTCGATGAGGCCACAGTAGGGATTTACTCCTGAGCCACTGCGCTTGCTCTCTTGCTCTCCAAGCCGAAGGATATTCTCCAGTCCATTGAGGGCCACTTGAACAATCTTTGAATCCATTACAGTCAGCAAGTCACAAAGGGGTTTGATGCAACCCAATGATACCAGGTACCTGAGGACCAGAGACCAGGCAAGTTCTAAAATTAATGCAGGGTTTGGAGGGAGGGGAGAAATAAATGGGAACCTTGAAGTTTAAAATATAAGGATGTTGCTAGGGTTGAAAGGTCCCAGGTTCGATTCAGGTCAAGGGCATGTACCTTGGTTGTAGGCACATCCCCAGTAGGGGGATGATTCTCATCAATCTTTCTAACTCTCTATCCCTCTCTCTAAAAAATCAATAAAATATATATTAAAAAAAAAACAAAACCCAAAATAGTAACTGTTATGCTGGCAGCAGCCTCACACATATGTTTACCATGTTGCATCATTTTGTTTAGTATAGTAATACATAGTACTAGAGGCCTGGTGCACAAAATTCGTGCATGGGTAGAGTCCCTAGGCCTGACCAGTGATCAGGGCCGATCAGGGCCTTCTGATTGCCAGCTGGGGCCTTCCTCCATTCTGCGCAACCCCCTGGTGGTCAGCATACGTCATGGCGAGCAATCAAACTCACAGTCTCTTGGTCAAACTCCCAAGGGGACACTTTGCATTTTAGCCTTTTATATATATAGATAGGCTTGTAGCCTATGAATGGAGTAGGCTAGACCACCTAGGTTTGTGTAAGTGCACTCTGTGATCTTTGCACAATAGCAAAATCCCCTAATCTTATAACATATTCTAGTCATTAAGTGGTGAATGACTGTATTGAATATATACTCCCTTACTAAGGGCAAGACACTTGCCTAATTTCCACCACTCCTATTCATATTGATAATGGAAACTAAAAACAAAACAAAAACAAACACATACACACACAAAACACACACACAATATTTTCTTTTTGTTTCTACCAAGTATTAACCCCCAAAATGATTTCCTAAAAAGTTGGTGCGAATGAACCATATCATGGCACTCCTTCATTTGCATGGATAACTGACAATTACATATAGTCTCTGGTGTGAAGAATGAGGTAGGAGACAGATGTCTGTATCAAAGATTACCGTTCTCCAGGAGAGAAAAGAGATACATGATCTATAGGTATCTATTTCAGACTCCAGTGCCACTCTAGCATTTTATCAGTTAGAACCTACTGCAGCTGCCTTGCCAGTTCAGTGTCTGAGCATCGACACATGCACCAAGAGGTTACTGGTTGCATTCCTGGTCAGGGCACATGCCTGGGTTGCAGGCTTGATTGTAGTATGAGGCATGTAGGAGGCAGCCAATCAATGACATCAATGATGTCATTGATGTTTCTATTTCTCTCTCCCTTCCTCTCTGAAATCAATAAAAATATATTAAGGCCTAACTGTTTTGGCTCAGTGGATAGAGCATCGGTCTGCAGACTGAAAGGTCCCAAGTTTGATTCCGGTCAAGGGCATGTACTTTGGTTGCGGGCACATCCCCAATAGGAGGTATACAAGAGGCAGCTGACTGATGTTTCTCTCCCATCAATGTTTCTAACTCTCTATCCCTCTCCCTTTCTCTCTGTAAAAAAAAAAAAAATCAATAAAATATATTTAAAAAATACATATATTAAGAAGGAGAGTATACATATCACTCCAGACAAGGGGGGGGGGGGGGGAGAGAGAAACATGATACCTGATCTGCTCAGGGGTTCCTCCAGATGTGGCATTGGTGATAGCCCAGGCTGCCTCTTTCCGTGTACGGAACTCTGCTTTCTGAAGAATTTCGATGAGCACAGGGAAGATGTTTGTATCTATGACAGCCTGAGAGAGGATTGGGGTGGGGATGGAGAGGAGAAAGTAAGTCATTTCAAGAAGAGAAACCAAATGCAGCCCATAAATCAGCTAAGATTTAGACCTCTTCCCTCCCTGGGAGTCTTCCTTTGTTCTTGTAACATAGATGAGAGATTACAGGGGAATCTGGCTTCCACTACACAGAATTTTGACCCTAATTTCTGAAAGGAAACAAAATTCTTCTAGAAGCAAATATTCTACAACCTACCTGCCTTCCTGCCTGACATACTACCCCCTGACTTCCTTCCTGCTTCTTCTACCTGTATTTGAGCCCTGTTGCCAGCAGTGATATTTGAAATAGTCCAGCAAGCTTCTTTCCGAATTGACTCCTTGGGGCTGCTCAGCAAGTGGAGGAGGCAAGGGAGTGCTGAACAGTTGAGAATGACCTAGAACACCAAAAGCATAGACAACAAAAATTAGATAAATGGACTCAATCAATTTAAAAAAAATTTTATTTACTTTTTAAAAAATACGTTTTATTTTTTTTCCACAGAGAGGAAGGGAGAGGGATAGAGAGCTAGAAACATTGATGAGAGAGAAACATCGACCAGCTGCCTCCTGCACCCCCCCCCACTGGGGATGTGCACGCAACCAATGTACATGCCCTTGACCAGAATCGAACCTGGGACCCCTCAGTCCTCAGACCGACACTCTATCCACTGAGCCAAACTAGTTTTGGCTCAATCAATTTTTATGCAACTTAAAACTTTTATGTATCAGAAGATACCATCAATAGAGTGGACAAGCAAACCACAGAAGAAAATATATGCAAAACATATAACTGGTAAGGATTAATATCAAGAATATATAAAGAATTTCTACAATTCAACAACAAAGAAACAAACAACCCAATTTTAAAAATGGGCAAAGGATTTGAATAGACATTTCTCCAAATAAGATATATAGATGGCCAAAAAACAGATAAAAAGATGCCAAACATTATTAATCATTAGGAAATGCAAATCAAAACTATGAGATACCACTTTACACTTACTAGGATGATTATTATAAAAAAAAAACAACCCAGAAAATACAAGTGTTGATAAGGATATGGAGAAAATTGGAACCTGGCACTTTAAGGGTGGAAATGCAAACTGGTATGGCCACTGTGCAAAACCCTATTGTGGTTCCTTAAAATATTACACATAAATTTATCATATGATCCAATAATTCCACTTCTGGATACATATCCAAAAGAACTGAAAGCAGAGACTCAAACAGATAACTTGAACATAAATGTTCAATGCAGTATTACAGTAGCCAAAAGGTGAGAACCCAAGTTTCTATCAACAGATGCATAAAATGCATAAACAAAATATGGTGTATGCATACAATTCAATATTATTTACACATAAAAAAAGAATGAAGATCTGACACATGCTATAATATGAATGAACCTCAAAGACATTATGCTAAGTGAAAGGAGGTGACACAAAAGGACAAATATATATGGTTCCACTTATATGAGGCACTTAGAGTAGTCAAACTCACGAAGAAAGTAGTATTGTGGTTATCAGGGGTTGGAGGAGGAGGAAATGGGGAGTTATTATTTAATGGGTAGTTTCAGTTTGAAATTATGAAAAAACTAGAGGCCCAATGCACGAAATTCGTGCAAGAGCAGGATTTCCTTCCCTTGGCTGTCGGCACCAGTTTCCCTCTGGTACCCGGGATCTGGGCTTTCCTCAAGCTGGCCGAAGGCACCCAGACCCGGGACCCCGGCTTCCCTTGCAGCCCTGGCTTCGTCTGAAAGAACATCTGGTCTAATTAGCACATTGATTTTATTATTATAGATTGTGAAAATGGATGGTGATGATGGTTGAATAACAATGTGAATGTATTTAATGACACCAGTAAGTTTATGTATGAATATTTGCTTACACACGCACACATAAGAATGGCCTAGAAAATGAGTGTGGATTTGATTACCTATAAAAAACTGTCAGGAATCCCACAGAACTATGCCAACTACTCAAGACTCAAAGAATACCCAGATCTCTAGCCTTTGAACAGAAGAGAACCTGTTTACTGTGCCCTCCCTGTCTAGATTAACAGGAGATAGTGTATGTATGTATGTATGTAGGATCCTAAGGTCTATGAAGTAGGGGTAAGGTTTCATAGCTTTTAATATCTCGAAAGGAAGAAAACTCAAAAACTGTTAATAATTAGCTTACAATGTCCCAGGTACTGAGTTAGATTAATTTAATGTTCCTTCAAAAGCACAGAATGAGCCCTAACCAGTTTGGCTCAGTGGATGGAGCTTTGGCCTTTGGACTAAAGGGTCCCAGGTTCAATGCCAGTCAAGGGCATGTACCTTGGTTGCAGGCACATCCCCAGTTAGGGGTGTGCAGGAGACAGCTAATAGATGTTTCTCTCTCATTGATGTTTCTAGCTCTCTATCCCTCTTCCTTCCCCTCTATAAAAAAAAATCAATAAAAATATATATTTTTTAAAAAGCACAGAATGAATAATTTGCTTCCCATTTATAGAAAAAAAATGAAGGCAACCAAGTTGCCCGTGATCATATAGGAAGTGACAGAGTTGGAAATTTTCACCCACGCCCATGCTTTCTCTCCTAGTCTATGCTGCCTCCCATCAGCACCAAAGTTCTTGGTAGGGGAGAGTTTTGTCCACAGGCAGCTCTCTTCTTCCTTACCTGGGTTTGGATATCATCCCCAGTGACGATGTTACCCACAGCTCTCAGGGCAGGAGAAGCCACTTTGTAATCATTATGCCTGCAGAGGAGGGAGAACTGGTGAGTGAAGGACAGTACATAGCAATCAGCCCTGCTGACCACCAAGCGTGACAGCATTCTCATGGCTCCAGATCTTGGGACAGGGCAGCAGTTCTTTAGTCTGAGCTTGGAAAAGATTAGGGAATCTGTACCCTTTATGAGACCACTCACATTAGAAGCTCTACCAATCTCCTGCAGACTCCAGAGTCTATGACTGCCTGGATCTTCTCATTGGGGCCATCAGACAAATAAGAAAGGGCCCAGCAAGCATCTGCCAGCAAATCTGAGTCACTGCTGAAGAGTAGGCGTGACAGCACAGGCAAACAAGGGGAGACCTGTTGGAAGCAGAATGAGAGGGACTCATAGGGGATAGTTACATCAGCTCCACTACTACTAACACTGCTGTCCCTGCCTCTACAAGCACTGCTATGCCCTGGACATCCCTACAACATTAAACCATCAGGCCTAACTTTTCACTTTCCCATCCATGCACACAAGATCACCTACTTCATTGACAATAGCCTTTTTCAGTCTCCCATGGATTGAGAGACTCACAGGAGTTCCCAAAGACTTGAAAACTCCCACATAAAAATTCATCCACTTGAAGGAACCTACTATCCCGCAGGAACCAGTAAGACACTCTCTCACCATTGCAAACTCTGGAGGTGGGTTCTTCCCTCGACAGAGGTTTGACAGGGCCCAGACTGCATTCCGTGTCATTGTCAATCGTGTGGATTTTGTAAGGAGCCTGAGAGAAAAAGAAAAGCCAGATCCTAAGCAATGATGTCCTTGGCATGGGGCTGTTGCCAATGTACCCCAGAAGCAAATCAATTAGATCCCTCAGTTTCTTCTTTCCCACAGACCTAAGGTAATAGACTGTTTGTGCAAGGAGGCCAACCTGCATGCCCAGAGGATTATGATATGAGATTATGATCTCTGAAGAACAGTTCATCCATTTATTTTGGTTTAAATGTAATACAGCTCAAAAGACAAAAATAAATAAATAAATAAATAAAAAATACCAGGGTTTTCAGAATTGCTTCTATTACAGGGTTGTCAGCATGGCTTAGGGACAATTTCTCTCAGTGTGAGTAAGGTTACAAGATTTTGACAAAAATTCTTTCTTCACTTTTGGAATGTCTGAATAGATTTGTGGTCTTTTGTTTTGCTTTAAAACATGATTAAATATGCCTTAAAAAAATAAAAATAAATTTTAAAAAAATAAATGTAATACAGCTCTTCTTTAAGGGTTAGAGTGAGGGATGGGGAAAGGATCCAGATGACCTTTCATAGGGACTCTGACCTGAAATTTACAACAGAGCTTCCCAATGACCTGATGCATAAACCCATAGCAAATCAATGTATTCTGCAGGGAAGGCTGGATTTTCAAAGATGGGATATCCTGCCTCTCTTCCTGGCTCAAAAATGAGGTAGGTATGACCAACACAAGATTCTATGATGCCATGAAATGTGGAAGCACAATATCGGCCTTGGTGCAGCCCAGCAGCACAATCTTCATGCTCTTATTGATACCTTTTAGTTTGGCAACAAAGTGTACTTTTTATATTTACTTACCACCTTGAGGTAAGTTCCCCCCAAAAGAACTACCAGATGGCTGCCCTAAAGATGTCTCAGGTGCAGGTGATCAGTAATTAATTACTCACGTTAACAAAGGATTAAGGATGGAACAGTTCAAGACGTAATCCCGGCAAACGGAGCTGTCTCCAGCTATGTTTCCCAGTGCCCAGACTGCCTGAAAAGGGGATGATGAAACCGTCACCCACAGAGCCTGGTGGTTTCTTGGCGTGCTTTATACTTACAACCATAGAGTACCCACCAATAATCAGACAAAAACCATATCAAGGCCCAAGACACATTAAATAAGCTCGGGTGCCATTTCTGTTGACTTTTTTTTTTTTTTTTTAATGTAGTTTTGTTGATTTCATACTCACACAAGGATATATTTTTAATTGATTTAAGATTAATTTTTTTTTTTAGAGAGGAATGGAAAGAAAGGGAGAAACATCAATATGAGAGAGAAATATGGACTGGTTGCCTCCCCTACACACCCTAACTGGGGAATGAACCTGAAACCTAAGTATGTGCCCTGACTAGGAATCAAATCCACAACCTTTTGGCATATTGGACAATGCTCCAACCCAGCCAGAGTTTCAATTATAGAAGATAAATAAATCCCAACATAAACGGTGGCAGCCACAAAGCTGGAGAGGGCAGGAGGCTAGGGTTGCCCCAGGCAATTGAGGAAGCCAAACTTTCCTGGCCTGCCTTGGCCTCCGCTTAAGGCTACGAAGAAATGGCTGCTGCCATGGAGCAAGCAGGAGGCCTGGCTCTCTCTGCTCAAGGCTACAAAGTTTCAATTGTAGAAGATAAATAATTCCCAGATACCTGGGCCTCTCTTGGGTTGCTGGGGGGCGTGGCCAGCTTGCAAACTACCACAGGCCCCTTGCCCAGGCTGCCCCATGCCTCAAGGGAACCCCCACCCTGATCCAGGACACCCTTCATGGCAAGCCAGCAGGCCCCCACCCGTGCACCAGGCCTCTACCCCATTTAATAAAAGAGTAATATGCAAATTGACTATTACTCCAACATACAAGATGGCTGCCCCCATGTGGTCAAAGATGACTGCTCCCATGTGGACACAAAATGGCCACCACAAGATGGCCAGCAGGGGAGGGACCAGGACTGCAAGGGAGGGCAATTGTGGGTGATCAAGCCAGCAGGGGAGGGCAGTTGTGAGGGACCAGACCTGCAAGAGAGGGCAATTGGGGGTGATCAAGCCTGCAGGGGAGGGCAGTTAGGGGTGACCAGGCTGGCAAAGGAAGGAAGTTGGGGGCGACTAGAACTGCAGGGAAAGGCAGTTGGGGAGGACCCAGGCCTGCAGGGGAGAGCAGTTAGGGGGACCAGGCCTGCAGGGAAGGGCAGTTGGGAGCAACCAGGCCTGCAGGGGAGGGCAGTTAGGGGCAATCAGGCTGGAATAGGAACAGTTAGGCATCAGAAAGGCTGGCAGGGGAGTGGTTAGGGGGTGATCAGGCTGGCATGCAGAAGTAATTAGGGGCAATCGGGAAGGCAGGCAGGTGAGCAGTTAGGAGCCAGTAGTCCTGGATTGTAAGAGGGATTGCAAATTGGCAGGATGCAGGCTGGGTTGAGGTACAAACCTCCTATGCACAAATTTTGTGCCCCGGGTCTCTAGTCTATATAAATAAAAGCCTAAGCAACTATTATGAGTGATCACTATGACACAAACTGCCCACCACACAGATGCACAACACAGGAGCTGCCCTCTAGTGGACAGTGCAGTCCTACAGCCAACCTCCTTCAGTCCCTGTCCCCCGGCTGGCCAGCCGGCCCTGATTGGTGGGGATTGCATGCACTGGCTTCTAGTTATAAATAAGAAAAGACACTACTATCACTCAGAAAATGTGAAGGATTTTAGGAGTTTTTTGCCAGAACTGGAAGCAAAGACCAAATATATTTTGTATTATACCATAGGTACTATCAAGAATTAAGCCAGCCTTGGTTGGTGAGTTGCTCTGTTGGGCACTGTCCAGTGCACCAAAAGGTTGCTAGTTTTATTCCCACTGAAATTTCTGGCTTAATCCATGGTAGGGGGCAAGCAAAAGGCAGCCAATTGATGTTTTGCTTTCACATAGATGTTTCTGCCATCGCCCCCACCACCCTCTCTAAAAAATCAATTAAAAATATCTAAAAAAAAAAAAAAAGAATTAAGCCAAATTTGAGCATTACCTGTTCCTGTACATCCTCAAAGTCCGAGTTAAGCAGCTCTATAAAAATGGGAACAGCCCCTGCTTCAATGACGATTTTGGTCTGCTGAGAGGTTCCAGAGGCAATGTTCGTTAGAGCCCAGGCAGCTTCAAACTGAAAGTGAGATTAAACCATTATTGAGAAGTCATTCCAGACAAGGCAGCCATGCCTACCAGCTGGCTCAGGCAGTAAGCCTCTTGTTTCTGACTAAAAAATAAATGAAAACACAGGCCTTTTCCACTCCCCCTTTAAATGGTAGGAAGAGGAATTGGCAGTGACATAACAGAATGGGAAGCCAGAAGTGGGCCTCAGTGGTCCAGGTTCTGACCTGCACTACCACAGAACCAATTAGTCCTTTAGCAAATCATTTTTTTTTACTTCCCAAGCTGTGGAGGGCTTTTTCCTTAAATTGTCAGCTGAGTCGAAAACAACTGGCAGAGCCGAGGCTCAGGTACACCTTTCCCCAAGATGGCGGAAAGTGTAATCAGCTAGGCCTTCAATTAGGCCCAGGTGTTGGCAGGGGCGGGTCTAGATATGTAAAGCCAGACAAGCAACAGGAATGCTAGGGCCTACTTAAGAATGCAAATAAGCTCCTTTGATCCTAAGTTTTGGTGTTACTTCCTGGTATTGGGGGTATAAAATAAATGCACTGGGAGGGGTCATGTTATTATAGTTGCAACCGCTCCATCAGAGAGAATGGATGGCATCCCACCCAGCTCTCAGCTTTAAATCTAGCCGAAACCGGTTTGGCTCAGTGGATAGAGTGTCAGACTGTGAACTGAGGGGTCCCAGGTTCGATTGGGTCAAGGGCATGTACCTTGGTTGCGGGCACATCCCCAGTAAGGGTGTGTAGGAGGCAGCTGATTGATGTTTCTCTCTCTTCCATGTTTCTGACTCTCTATTTCTCTCCCTTCCTCTCTGTAAAAAAATCAATAAAATAATTGATTTTAAAAAAAAATCGATTTCTGCGTCTTCTCTTTTTATTTTTCAATCCCTGGCCAACTCCACTTAGAACCAGTTCATTCATCTCTTTCCTCGCTGGACGCGGAAAAGGGAGATTCCTGCTATGTCTGGCCCTCACTGCATCAGGCCCCCTGCACCAAGCTTCACTTTCTTTATTACTGAAACTAGTATTAAGGTGTGCTGGATCTCTCAAAGTCCCTTTCAGCTGAGTTTCTAGCAAGTTCCAAAAGATTGGCACACCAACCATTTCTGAGAAGAAAAATTCAGAGGCTAAGTAATTTGCCTCAAGTCAGATAGGTAATGTGGAAGCAAACTAGCACCTCTGATTTATAAATGAACAATCCGTTATATTCTGGTATCTTTTCTTTGAAGTTATTCTAGAGAAGAGATCTGGGCGCGCGCGCGCTCTCTCTCTCTCCCCCTTTAAAAAAAAAAAAAAAATATATATATATATATATATATATTTTTATTAATTTTTTACAGAGAGGAAGAGAGGGATAGAGAGTTAGAAACATCAATGAGAGAGAATCTTGCACCCCTCCCCCCCCACTGGGGATGTACCCACAACCAAGGTACATGCCCTTGACTGGAATCGACCTGGGACCTTTCAGTCCACAGGCCGACGCTCTATGCACTGAGCTAAACCGGTTTCGGCTGGGCTCTCTTATTTGAGGCTAAGACTTCTGAGCAACAAACAGTTTCTCTTAACTGTTTCCTTAGACATGTGTCTATAGAAACATCCCACTGCAATTTCTTTGAAGGAGGGCTTTCATCTGATACAATCCCATCCCAGATCTCACCTGTAATGTACAATTCTCATTCCTCTTCAGAAACTCCACAAACCGATCCACCACCCCTGGCGTGTTGATAACTTCATCTATTGGAGGGCTAGGCTCTGGAAGAGGGAGAAAGAAAAAGGAGGACGTCAGGATAGGCTTTGACTGATGCATCCACCCGGGTCAATTCACCATCTTTCCTAGATACTCCTGACCATCCTTATAAGCATGCTTAAACTCCTTTTGGGTGAGGTGGTTTTTGGTCATCCCTGAACTGTATGAAGCATTTGGGATGCTAAAGAGTAAAGCCTATCCTAATTTAAGTATACTCACCTTTGGCCTATTGAACCTAAGCAAGTATGTAACCTTATTTACCCAAGCAAGGAAGGAAGGAAGGAAGAGAAGAGAAGAAAGCTCAAGGGATGACCAACCCTGGCCTACACATTTTCCTCCTAAGACCAGAATTCCTTTCTTGGGAGAGCTGCTTAATATACTGAGACAAGAAGTATTTTTACTATCAAATTTTTACTGAGCATGAACAATGTGCCCAATACAGTTCTAGATTCGGAGGACAATACCCAAAGTCTCTGTTCTCACAGAGCTTACATACTAGTGAGGAGAGAGATTCTATTTATAGAAGGTAATAAATACAATGAGGAAAAAATGAATAGGTTGAGCCAGGTAAAAAAGACTAAAAATGCCAAGGGTTGGGAGATAGCCTATAATTTTAAATAGGAAATCAGGGTAGGCTTCATCAAGAAGGTAGGATGTGATTCACAGAAGTGAGGGAGTTGTCATCCAGATATGTCAAGTAGAGGGTATCAGACAGAAGGAATAGCCAGCACAAAGGTAAAAATGTGCCTGGCTTATCTAAATACCAAAGCAGAATGAGTGAAGGTGGGTAGGTTGATGAGGTCAGTGAGAAGAAACAAGACACTAAATCATGTAGGTGGTCTCTTTGGGGGAGGGCCAGGCTTTGTACCTTTAGAGAGCAGTTTCCGGAATTTCTGTGTGGTTGCTAACTGCAGGTCAGAGTCATCAGAAAAGAGCATCTCTACCATCTCTCTTGTGATCACACTCTCCTAGAATATAAAACAGGTTCAAGGCTTTGCAAACCAACACTAGAGTAAGACATGAGCACATAATCCTGTGTGGCATCCTACTTTGTAAAGAGTTGGGGGCAAGAGGACAGCATAATAGACAGGCTCAGGAGAATGAGCTGGTTTAATCCATGGCTGCTTCAAGTCAGGACATTTGAAAAGTAATTCCTAACTTTTTTATTTTTTATTTTAATTTAATTTTTATTTTAACAGAGAGGAAGAGAGAGGGATAGAGAGCTAGAAACATCAATGAGAGAGAAACATTAATCAGCTGCCTCCTGCACTGGTAATGTGCCCGCAACCAAGGTACATGCCCTTGACCGGTATCAACCCCGGGACCCATCAGTCCACAGGCCGATGCTTTATCCACTGAGCCAAACCGGTTTCTGCAATTCCTAACTTTTGAAGCAACTTCCTTTAAGTGTTTCCTAAAGTGTCTCTATCAGAGATAAATCCTTGCTGTCTCTTAGAGCTGACCAACTATAAAGGGCCCATGGAAGGAAGAACTTTGCATGGTTCTGAGCAAAACTACTAGATGATGAACTGCCCAATTTCTGCTCTGCAGAAGCAGGTACTTCCCAGGCTTGCCGGAAGCAAGGGCCTTACCCCAGTGGTAGAGCTCACATAGGAGTCCATGAGGAGACTATCGAACATGGCAGCTTCTTCATTAATCATCTCCACATTTCTCCGTTTAAACAGCTGCAAGACAAGAGAAGAGGTGATGGTTAAGCCTATTCACTGAACCAAAAACAACAGCAACAAAGAATAACCTAACGTTAAATTACGGCAAAACTGTCAAGGAAATGCTAGCATAATTGAGAAAATGCCAAGTTTAACATACTGACATAGAAAGTTATTCAAGAGCTTTCCTTTCTATTTTATCTAACTATTTTCATTTTTATAAGGAAAAAAAAATCTTTAAAGATTCGAATGCCCTTTGTATAAAAGGTGAAGAGTACATAGGCTTTGAAGGAATAATGGTAAAAGCAAGAGGGTAGGCAAAAGCAGGTTAGGTGACTACATATACCGTGTTTCCCCGAAAATAAGACATCCTCCGAAAATAAGACCTAGCACATGGAAAGATAAGACATCCCTTGAAAATAAGACCTAGTACAACTTTGGGAGAAAAAATTAATATAAGACACTGTCTTATTTTGGGGGAAACAGGATAGGTTTGGGCAAGGCACCAATTTAGTGGGTGTGTGAAAGAGCATAAATGATGAGGTATTAATATACTCTTAGTCCTAAGAAGACTTACAAAGAATGGACCCAGGAAAGAGAAATAAGGCAACCCAGAGTAGCAGATGAACCTCTTAAAGGTCAGGCTTGAAGCTAGGCTTGAAGACCAGGCCTAACACTGACTTAGGGTAAAGAAGAGAGAAGGCAATAAATAAGGGGCTAGAACCAAAATGTTATATTGAAGACAGAAATGATGCTGCTAAGTTATTCTAAATTATGAAAAAAGAATAAGGAATTGAATTTTCTCTTTCTCAAAGCTTCCAACATTTCTTTACAACAAATGAAACTATCAAACATGGCAGCTTAGCTACTTTCCTAACAGGAGGGTCATAGTGCAAGGTGGAGGCCAATCATGGCAGCTGGATCCTTTCTCTGAACAATATGTTTAAAAATACTCTGGGCCAAGCCAAAACTGGTTTGGCTCAGTGGATAGAGCGCTGGCCTGCGGACTGAAAGCTCCCAGGTTCGATTCTGGTCAAAGGCATGTACCTTGGTTTCAGGCACATCCCCAGTAGGGCGTGTGCAAGAGGCAGCTGATTGATGATTCTCTCTCACTGATGTTGTTTCTAACTCTCTATCCCTCTCTCTTCCTCTCTGTAAAAAATCAATTAAAAAAAAATTAAAAAAAAAAAAAAAAAAAAAAAGAATACCCTGGGCCCTGGCTAAGATAAGAGTGTTGTCCCAATATGCCAAGGCTGTGGGTTTGATCCCCAGACATAGCACATAAGAATCAACCAATGGTCCCGGTAAGTGCAGTCCAGAGGTTAGAGTCCTAAAGGATTATCCTTTAATCATGATTAAGGGCATGTACCTATGTTGCAGGTTCAATCCTTGGCCCCAGTTGGGGCATGTGCAGGAGGCAACCAATTGATGTGTCTCTCTCACATGGATGTTTCTCTCTTTCTCTCTTTCTTGTCCCTTCCTTCTAATCTCTCTCTTAAAAAAATAAAATAAAAATAAATAAAAATCAATGGGAAAAATATCCTTGGGAAGCCCGGCCAGCATGGCTCAGTGGATGAATGTTGATCTATGAACCAGAGATCACGGTTCAATTCCCAGTCAGGGCATATGCCCAGGTTCTGGGCTTGATCCCCAGTATGGGGCGCACAGGAGGTAGCCTATCAATGACCATCATCATTGATATTTCTATCTCCCTCTCTCCTCCTCTCTGAAATTAAAAATATATATAAGTGGAACAAATTGATGTTTTTTTTTTTTTCTCTCTCTCTCTCAAAACCCACATAAAAGAATAAATTTGAAAAATAAAGAATACTTGGGTTAACCCACTTGTTGCTCCCGCTTCTGCTTTCGAAGCTGAATGCCCTCTTCCTCTCTTCTTCGCCTCATTTCCTCAGGATTGAGGGCATTGTTCTTATAGCTCTTCATTCGATAATTGTCTTTCCCTGGGCTTGCCATGGTCTCTAGAAGAGAAGATAAAAACACATTGGCAAAGGCTCTTACGAAGACATTTCCTTTTCCCTGGGCTCCTGTCTACCCACCCTCCCTTACTCAGGGAAACCATACATTCTCAAGAAAGCATAATAACCTCATTAACCACACTTGACACCTCTACCACCAACAACACATTTAACCAGCTTATTATTTAATCATAATAAGCTGGTTAAATTAAGTGTAATTACAGCAATTTATATAAACATAATAGTTAAATGTGTAGGCCCTGAAGGCATTTTGTGAGGGTTCAGATTCTGGCTCTTTGCTTTTTAACTGTGCAAACCTTCAATAAGTTGCTTTAACCTCTATGCTGTAGGATCTTATCTTTAAAACAGGGACATAATAGTTCCTACTTCATAGAGTTGTTAGAAAAGTGCCCTTGCCAGGCAGTTCAGTTGGTTAGTGTCAGCCCAATATGCCGAGGCTGTGGGTTTGATCCCCAGTCAGGGTACATACAAGAATCAACCAATGGATTCATAAACAAACAGAACAAAAAATCGATGTTCAAATCAAATTAAAAAAAAAGAGAGAGAAAAATTAAATAGGTTAATACATGTGAAGTACTCCTTAGAACAAAATATGGTAAATGCTCATAAGTTATGATCACCTCCATGATGAGAAAGTTATATGACTTGCCCAATAAACTCAAATATATTTAACCTAGCCAGATGAAGCAATTATAGTATACACAAATTCAGTGGAATCCCATGTACTGTTTTAAAAGGAACCAATTTTAAAATTCATCTGTAATATTTGATACATACAGTAAGAAACAATGTTGTTACCAAACAAAATAATACAATGAGAATCTGTAAACCTACCACCAAATCTAAGAACTAGAATATTATTAATATGTTTGGGCACTGGCTGGGTAGCTCAGTTGGTTACTGTCATCCCGATATGCCAAGGCTGCACAGGACAACACTCCAACCGAGCCACACAGGGGTCACCCCTTTTGTTAAAAAAAAATATATATATATTGATTTTAGAGAGGAAGGGAGAGGGAGATATAGAAACATCAATGAGAGAGAATCATCGATTGGCTGCCTCCTGCATGCCCCCTACTGGGGGACCCAGGCATGTGCCCTTGGCTGGAATCGATCCTGTGGTGAAGGCCTGTGATGGGGAGCTGGAGCTGGCTGGAGGGAGCTAATGGCGGGAAAAGGGGACATATATAATACTTTCAATAATAAAGTTTAAAAAATAATAAACCAAACAAAAAATTAAATGACCTACCTGACCAGGCCTAAAATAAAAAAATTTTAAAAAAAGGGGTGTGTGTGTGTGTTTAGGTCAGTCAAAAGGCAGAGATTGGTAGAAAGAATAAAAAACCAAACATGGCCCTAAGCGTTTTGGCTCAGTCGACAGAGCATCAGCTAGAGCATAAGGGTCTCCCAGGTTTGATTCTGGTCAGGTCAAGGGCATGCACCTTGGTTGTAGGCACATCCCCAGTAGGGGTGTGTAGGAGACAGCTGATTGATGTTTCTCATTGATGTTTCTAACTCTCTCTCCCTCTCTGTAACAAATCAAATATATTATTTAAAAAAAAACCAAACACGATCCAACTGATGATGCCTGCAAATATTTATTGTATATTCAAAGACACAAATGGCCTAAAAGTAAATGAATGGAAGAAGATTATTTCATGCAAATGATAACCAAAAGACAGCTGGTATGGCTATACTAATATTAGACAAAAATCTTTGTTACAACAAAGAAGGATATTACATACATAATGATTTAATTGACAAAAGGGAAGATATAACAATTATAAAACAAATGCACCAAATTAGAACCTCAAAATATATTTTCCAGGCTTGAATGGAAAAATAATTCTACAATAATATTTGGAGACTTCAACATACCACTTTCAATAATGAATAGAATACCTAGTTAGAAAATTAATCAGGAAATAGAGCTAATAAACCTAAAAGATTTATAGACTATCCCATTCAACAACAAAATATGCCTTCTATAGCATACATGGAACATCCTCCAGGGTAGACCATGTTAGGCCACAAAGAGAGTCTCAATAAATGTAAGATTGGAATCTTAAGTCTCTTCTAAGACCACATGAAACAAAGGTAGAAATAAACACCAGGAAAAAAAACTGGAAGATACCACTTCATACCTACTAGAATGGCGGTAACAAAAACAAAAGAGAACAAAATAACAAGGTGTCCAGAATGTGAAGAAATTGGAAACTGAGGAGATTAAAAATGGCACAGAGTAGGAGGATGCTGCATGGGCATGCTCCCAGAAACAAGCTGGAATTACAACTGAAATTACAGAAAGGCTTTCTGAATAATCAATGGAAAACTTACAGGAGAGAATCCTGATACCTAAGGACCTAAGGTGGAGGCTGGACACCCACAGATTGCAACTGAAGTCCCAGAGAGATAGCTCAGCTGAGGGGGAAAGGGGAGGGGGGCGTGGTGCCACTTAGAAATCTGGCATCTAATCCTCAAGCTGGGCTTCCCAGCAGAGAGCACCAAACTGAGGAGGGGACCCACATAACACCTAGCTGTGAAAAGCAGTGGGGTGCTGTCTGCCAGGAAGAGGCAGCTGGAAGTTTGGGCACCCTCCTAAAGGGCAACGCACAAAAATTCCTTGTGGAGTCACCACCTTGTGCTCTGGCAGAGGAGGGTAAAGTGGACTGGAGCTGTGAGAGCAGAAGGCAGACACCCCAAGTGTCCTGGGCTGAGTCATTCCCTCTCACTGGGAGGACATCTTTCCCACATAGGCATCTGCCTTGCCTGGGGGGAAGACAGTAGACACACCCTATTGGAAAACACCTTGCCCTGAGGCCACTTAAAAGATTAAAAACAACAATTAGCCTCCAGGCAGAACAACTGCCCCACCCTGCTGAAAAACTCTCCACAATTCTGAGGATGATTGCAATTCAAGTTAGAGTCCTATTACCCTGTTTTCCCGAAAATAAGACAGTGTCTTATATTAATTTTTTTCTCCCAAAGTTGTGCTAGGTCTTATTTTCGGAGGACGTCTTATTTTCGGGGAAACACGGTAGTCTGTAGACAGAGGCAGTCTATGGAGGCTTTGAGATTTTGACTGATCCAATTAGTCAGAAACAGCCTTCAACACTGTCCTTCACTAGAGATTGAGAGGTGTAGAGGATCTGCCTAAAACATAGTCACAAACCCAAACAACCAAAATGGGGAAACAAAGGAACAGCCCAAAATGAAAGAACTAACAAATTCTCCAGAAGAAGAGGTAAATGAAGCAGAGATAAGAAATTTATTTGAATAGAGTGCAGAGTAATGATGTTAAAAATGCTCAATAGTAAGAAAAAAGATATAGTAACTATGAAAAAAGAATATAGTAACTATGAATAAAAAATGACATAACACAAATGAAGAACACATTGGAAGGAATACACAGCAGATTAGGGGAAGCTGAGGATAGAATAAATGAATTATAATAGAAGACAGAGTTGAAAATATCACTCAATTAGAGAACCAAAAAGAAAAAATAGGAGGACAGCTTAAGGGAGCTATGGGTCACCGCAAAATGTAACAATATTAGAATAGTAGGTATGCCAGAGGAGGCAGAAAGGGAGAAGGGAATAGAGAAGGTGTTTAAAGAAATGATGGTAGAAAACTTCCCTAACCTGGTAAAGGAAAAAGTAATACAAGTTCAGGAGGCACAGAGAACCCCAAACAAGAAGAACCAAAACAGACCCACGCCCAGACACATCATAATTAAAATGCCAAAAATTAAAGACAAAGAGAGAATCTTAAAGGCAGCAAAACTGTTACCTTCAAAGGAGTTCCCATAAGGCTGACACCTGATTTCTCATTAGAAACTACTGGCCACGGGGGAGCAGGCGGGTCGGGTGCGGCCAGGCCCGGAGCAGCGGCTGCCAGGCTGGGAGCGGCCAGGCCCGGGGGAGCAGGCGGGTCGGGTGTGGCCAGGCCCGGAGCAGCGGCTGCCAGGCTGGGAGCGGCCAGGCCCGGGGGAGCAGCCGGGTCGGGTGCGGCCAGGCCCGGAGCAGCGGCTGCCAGGCTGGGAGCGGCCAGGCCCGGAGCAGCAGCAGCCAAGTCCAGAGCAACTAGGTTGGGAGTGGCAGTGACCAGACCCGGAGCAGCTGGTTGTGGAATGAACCAGAGCAACAGAGGCCAGGCCCTGAGCAGCCAGCCCCAGAACAGCTCGCTCCTTGCCTGCCCCTGCCCCACGGCTGCTTCTCAGACATGGATGGAAACTTTCGTGGGAACTTGAGTGTCTGCTGAATCAAGTGATGAAGGCTTAGATCTGGATGTGTTGAGTTAGTTTAGGATTGGGGTGTTGATCTGTGAGTGCCTTGGGTGGGGCCTGGATGAGGCTGGTTGACCTAGTGGGAAATGTCTTTTGTGTGAAGTGTATCATTGGGCATGTGGAGGTATTATTGATATGAGAAAATGCTAAGTAACTGATTTACTATCTGAAAAGGGATTTACTATTGGGGAAATTGAGGGAAGAAGAGACTGAACATAAACTGCACCTATGGATGAGGACAATGGGGGATGGGGGGGGACGGAGGGTGGGGTGGGAACCTGGTGGAGGGGGGAAGAAATGAGGAACCTTTGTAATAATATGAACAATAAAGATTGCTAAAAAAAAAAAAAAAAAAAAAAAAAAAAGAAACATTAAAGACCCAAAAAAAAAAAAAGAAACTACTGGCCAGAAGCGAATGGCATGAAGTACTCAAGGTAGTGGAAAGCAAGGATCTGAGACCAAGATTACTATATCCATCAAGGCTATCATTCCAAATAGATGGTCAAATAAATAGCTTCCCAGACCAAAATGAAGAAGAAAGAAGAAGAAAGAAGAAAGAAGAAAGAAGAAAGAAGAAAGAAGAAAGAAGAAAGAAGAAGAAGAAGAAGAAGAAGAAGAAGACGACGACGACTAACAGAATTCATCAACACCAACCAATATTAAAAAGAAATGCTAAAAGGATGGCTGTAAGGGATTG